AATCATTTTAGAACCCGTGAAGATCCGGGGTAAATAAGTCTTCAGCAACCCATGCTTGCAGTAAAAGGCGACTATGCTTGTCGTAAGAGGCGACTAAAGGGATCGGGTGGTCAGGCTCGCTGACTTGGTTGATGCAATTCATCGTATCCCAATTGCGTGGATCGATGGTCATGATGTCAATCACTGGATTGTCTGGTCCAGACTTGATTATTTACAGACTGCCGTCATATGGCTGGAATATTGCTGAATGCGGCGTTAAACAATATAATGAGTTGGTCTCAAATGTTTCAGCTGCAGTTGTGACGCGCCACTTCCTACTGGAATGAGCTGGGTTTTTTAAAATGATTTATGTTCAGTTGAGACGCATCACTTAGACGAAGCAGATTATATTTCCGTACAGAATCAATTTTTGAATATTATGGTGTAAACTTGGCCCTACTTTAACTCCAAATAACTCCAGTTGTGATGCGCCACTTCATATAATGAGTTGGTCTCTAATGTTTCAGCTCCAGTTGTGATGCGCCACTTCATATAATGAGTTGGTCTCTAATGTTTCAGCTCCAGTTGTGATGCGCCACTTCATTTAATGAGTTGGTCTCTAATGTTTCAGCTCCAATTGTGACGCACCTTTACATATGAAAAAATCAGTTGGTCTCTCGTGATGTAGCTGCAGTTGTGACGAACCACTTCATATTATGAGTTGATCTCTACCTTTTCAGCTCGAGTTTTGACGCGCCATTTCCTACTAGTATGAGCTGTTTTTTTATGACTTATGTCCAGTTGTGACGCATCACTTAGACAGAATCAATTTTTCAATGTTATGGTGTAAACTCGGTGGTACTTTAACTCCATATAGTTTCTATAGTCACGGTGATTTTGACTGAATGTAAGCATGTCCTTCTTCAATTGTACATTATACCTAGACGACCAAGGTGCCTGGACATGGGTTACACATTGCAACTGTCCGTGGTCATGTGGGCTCCATTCTGAGAAAGCCATGCTATGCTGGACTTTCCCTGTGAAGAATGTGGTCAGTAGATATAGGGGTGTATTTTGCTGGTCCGAATGTTCCGAGTAGTAGGGAAAGTATAACCTTCCGCATTCATGGTGAAGTGTAAAAATGAGTTGCGGGTGCTGTCCACACCCAATGATACCCCAGTTACCGTAGAAAAGCAGTTGTAGTGTCAGCTGAGGTCGTCTGGAAGTCTGAACTCTAGAGCACATATACTGATAAATATTAAAAAGCCCTAGCTTCAGGTTAAAATGAAGAGATACGCTATCCCTGTTTGACCATTAATTTAGCACAATAGTCAGTGCAAAGATTTGGAGTTATGGACCTCTATGGTGTGTAACCATTCCGGCAAGTAACCTTTGTAGAGACTCTGTAGTCTATATTGAAATGTGCCACCTCCAGTAACCATAATTTAGTCTTTAAATGTTTTAGATCCAGTTCAGACATGCAAAATCCTATTTTAATGAGTTGGCCTTTCCATGTTTCAGATCAATTTGAGAAGCGCCACTTTCTGGTACAATGAGTTGGTCTCTTATGTTTCAGCTCCGGTCACGTGACAAGCCTCTTCATATGATGACTTTTTCTCATATGTTTCAGCTCCGGTTGAGGCGCCACTTCATGTAATTATTTTGTCTCTAGTATTTCAGCTGCAGTTGTAATGCACGACTTCATTCAATTAGTTGCTCTCTGATGTTTCATCTCAAGTTGTGATGCACCACTTAATAACACCCGTGAAGATCCGGGGAAGAATAGGTCTTCAGCAACCCATACTTGCCATAAATGGCGACTACGCTTATCGTAAGAGGCGACTTACGAGATCGGGTGGTCAGGCTCGCTGACTTGGTTGATGAGCCAACCAGTCCTTGTTTTATCCCCCGAATACCGAGTGTCAGGCAGGGTAACTGCAAATACCATTCTTTAACGTCTTCAGGTATGACGCAGCCAGGGATCAAATCACCGACCTTCCGCTCTCCAGGCAGATACTCTATCCACTAGACCATGGAGGTGGTCTTATCTTTTGTGAGGAATATATATGAATATTCATATCTGGTACTGCATAACAATGCAGTGCATGCACATGTGCATATGTCCTTACACAAAACAATATTGTCACAATATTCATCAACTTTATTTTTTTCACACACAATACATGAAGATAATTGGACTGGTTTTCATGGCAACTACTCATCAGTATGACAATGAAAAGAATGACACAAATAGTTCACAGTGCAATCAAACTGATAAAGTTACACAACATGGCTATCTACTTCTTCATGTCATGCCATCAATTTTGCAAAACTCAAATTACCAGAGGATGAAAAATAGATGATTACATTTCTTCATAACTGGGTCACACTTGGCATGCTTATGACTAAACATGTTTCTGAAGGGAGATGTGCTGCTAATCCATGACATTAAAATGATGTTTGCAGTGTCATGAAAGTTACAGGCAGTCCAATTTTCAGTCATCCAGTTGGGCGGTGGGGTAGCCTAGTGGTTAAAGCGTTCGCTCGTCACGCCGAAGACCCGGGTTCGGTTCCCGACATGGGTACAATGTGTGAAGCCCATTTCTGGTGTCCCCCGCCGTGATATTGCTGGAATATTGCTAAAAGCGGCGTAAAACCATACTCACTCACTCAGTCATCCAGTATAATAAAGTGTTATCCCAAATATAACATTTGTTACATTCACCCATAAGGTCTCTTGTCTCATGGTTGGTCACACATATTGATCCGTTCATACTATGCTACCCTCATCATGTTCTCATCATGTTCTCCCATCTTCACACGAGAGCCCAGTCGCCTACGTTCTTCATAAAAGCAGAGACAGGCTTGATTAGTTGTGTACACGTAAATAGCTAACACTGTACAGTATACAAAATCTGGTACAAAGAAGTATTGTGTGCGTATATACATTAACTAAACTAGTACAAATATAATGGCATGAACATGATTAGAAGAGTTTTACATTTACATAGGTTTGGGCAAAAACTATTTTTTCAGCTGGACGTGATGCTTTCCTGAGAACATACATGGGTGAGGGAAATCCTTATGCAACAAGACTTCAAAATCAGAGATTGTGACACGCAGTGTTTCTTTTACAATCCTGAAACAATATATCAACATACAATAGTTATACAACAACAAATATCACGAGTCACAGTGTGACACTCAGGACATTTGCATCCTGTATCTGATGACGAAGGTTCGTTTCATGGCATCAATAGAGGTATTCTGATCGTGGTTGCTGCATATACTAGTAAAAGAATCAAGTACCACATGGTACGACAGATTAACTAGAGTAACATAAAAATGAATGTTTTTGGGTAGTATTTAATGGTGATCAGTTTACACACTATTTCACAGACCCATGAAGATCCAGGGTAGAATAGGTCTTCAGCAACCCATGCTTGCCGTAAAAGGCGACTATGCTTTTCGTAAGAGGCGACTAACGGATCAGGTGGTCAGGTTCGCTGACCAGGTAGATGCATGCCATCGTATCCTAATTGCATGGATTGATGCTCATGTTGTCAATCACTGGATTGACTGGTCCAGACTCGATTATTTACAGACTGCCGTCATATAGCTGGAAAATTGCTGAGTGCAGTGTAAAACAACAAACAAACAAACAAAACTTTTTCACAAAATTAATGTAAACAATATTGCATTAAACATAAGTGCGAAATACAATTTCCATGAAAAGATAAGTGTAATAACAGAACTACTTGAGAACTAAAGAATAGACTTGTTGACAAGCTATTTTCATCTTTACATTCTGAGGGTAATGTGTTTCCTTTAGAAAAAACAAACATTCTCTGTATGTAATATGTGCAACACCCTCTACACAACTGTATTTGGGGGTGAACGAGTGTGCATTATGCACAACAAAATACTTCAGGGGTTTGTATACACTTATTACCTCCATCAGACTATCACCTGTGATACATAGTCAGTACCACACAGGTTTCAGTGCACTTCAACCCTCCGTCACCTGTCAATACAATCGGCTGTTTATTCGGTGTAGTAGTGACACTCTACTTTTTCTAAGTCAATGAAATGACTCTAATGTCAGATTGGCTGACATGCATGAATACCAGTAGACACACATGATGAAAAATTCAAGACTTCAATCTCTTTAAAATCACATCTTAGTACTCACTACTGCTGAACAAAGATCTGGGGACATCCCATTACGGGTCATGTCAGAATGACCTTTGGCAAACTTTGACCAGTCAGTGAAATGATGAACAAGAAGTTGACATTAGCCAAACAGAAAGCAGCTTTCTCTTGCTATACAAAAAATCAACAATTGCAATTGCAAATTCTTGAAGGTCTAATAGGGTTTGATTGTATGGTAGTACTTCCCACGGGCTATGGAAAATCTTTTCCGTTTCAAATGTTTATCTCATTGAAGCAAGAGATAAACAATGATTTGCATGGAATCGGTTGTACAGCTCATAGCAGTCGTCCGGAATACCAAGTGTTGACCATTTTGAGGCGAAGAATTACAAAACACATTCCCAAAGTCACTCACCAGATCTGCTAAGCGATGCTCTGATTGGTCAGATGTAAGGTCGTTCTGTTGGACCCATAATGGAATGTCCTCAGACCTTTGTTTAGTGGTAGTGAGAACAAAACTCTGATTTTAATGATTTTAATATAAACTTAAAACCTGGATCTCTAATACCTTCCCTCTTACACTGTACTGGGGGCACGAGTGGTGCACCATCTAAGGAGCTGCAATTCACCGTGCAGAGTTGGGTCCCTTGGGCATGACAGAAATCTATGGCGATGGGTTGGAATCCCAGTTTGCCCTGATTATTTTTCTAGGTTTGTCATCAGGCTACCCATGCTCATGGGTTTCATCAAAATGGTAAAGTTTTGAGACCTGCATCACTTTCCTCCAACATTAAGCTGATACACTGTGATATAACTGGAAAAATGTTAAAAGTGGCATTAAACCGAATTCACTCACTCACTCACTACACTCAATTGTGACACTTCATGTGTTTGTTCAGGATGGTGGCTCGCGTAAAAGCTTTCCCACACACATTACAGAGAAAAGGCCTGACTCCACTGTGGCTCATGATGTGTCGCTTCAGGGTACCTGATTGTGCAAATGCTTTATCACACTCCTTGCACTGGTAAGGCTTCACACCACTGTGATGCCTCATGTGTCTCTCCAGGTCATTCGATCGTGCGAAAGCTTTCCCACATACACCACACTCATAAGGCTTGATGCCAGTGTGACACCTCATGTGTATGTTCAGATTACCTAGTTCCAGATATGCCTTCCCACACTCACTACACTGGTGGGGCTTGACTCCACTGTGGCTCTTCATGTGTGTGCGAAGTTGGTATACCTCTGTAAATGCTTTTCCACATTCACTACACTTATGAGGCTTTTTCCCACTATGAGACCTCATGTGTGCCAGCAGGCTACCTGACAGTGCATACGCCTTGCCACATTCACTGCACACATGGGGTTTGACTGCACTGTGACACTTCATATGTCGCTGCAGGTTTCTAGATGTTGAAAATGTTTTCACACACTCACTGCACTCAAAAGACCTGTTTTCATTGTGACCCATCATGTGTCTTTGCAAGGAACAGGATCGTGGAAACGCTTTCCCACACTCACTGCACAGATAGGGCTTGATCCCATTGTGGCTCGTCATGTGTCGACCCAGGCTACCTGATTGTGCAAATGCTTTACCACACACAGTACACTCATAGGGCTTGATGCCACTGTGACATCGCATGTGGATCCGCAGACTGCCTGATTCGGTAAATGTATTGCTACACACAGTACACTCATAAGGCTTGATTCCACTGTGAATCCTCATGTGCTTGTTCAGGTCACTAGTTGTGTAACATTTTTTACCACACTGACTACACTTGTAAGGCTTGATTCCTTTGTGAATCAACATGTGTGTCTGCAAGTTTCTTGATGTTGTCAACTCTTTGCCACACTCTGGACACTTGAATACACGTGGACATGACTTGGGGTTCTTAACATCACTTGTTCCTACACTCTCCTTTTCAGTTGCACTGTCTGATGTAGAGACACAGCCATCATTTGGAATCTGGCCTTCTGTTTCCATTTAGATGTCAAGTATCCAAAGCTACTGGAACAAGTCAAAGAGCTGTTACCTTCCTTAGATGTTACCATGGGAACAATGATGAATACTAAAGTTAGATCTGTCACCAGAGAATGTGTCTGAAAAAAAAGACACAGCAATAAGGGTCAGCAGCTATCCAGAACTGTTTACACTAATTTTACACAATATGCATTATCATTCTTGATGTCCAAATATGCTAAACATGATAAATGATCATATGTAAAAATATGAATAATAAATATATGTAATAAATGATCTCCAAAATAAACAGTTAATGTACATACTGAATATTAAATTACAAAATACAGCCAGAAGGCTCTGTAGCTCACCTGATTAATGAAAACATAATTTCATGACACTTCAACTTAATATTGGTTACAAGCATCTTAAGTTAAACATGTTAAAGGATCATGGCATGGCAATAGATTCTCAGAATAAGAAAAAACAAGCTTTTGCTCAGCTTTGATCTGCATGAACTTGTTTCACTTTTTTCGCTTGTATTGAAAAAGGTGAAGGAAGGTGAAACTTTTCCTGGACCATCCTACCAACAATTTATTGGCAAAATTCACCTTTTCAATATGGCCGAAGAGGCAGCCATGAGCATGATTACGGGGTAGTTAGCATGGTTAGAAGTAGCACTCCTTATTTACAGCAGCAGCCGCAGATTTCCCATTATGTCTGACTATACTGTGAGTGTTACCATGGTTACTTTTCACCATTCATAACTCATAGCATTCTTTGACATGTTTAGACTCCTCAATTTTATCATGACTCCAAATTTGTATACCTGCTTCTCTAAATTCCGTCCATCTTTCACGATACTAAGGCTTGACTCCACTGTGACTCTTCATGTGTTTCATCAGGATACTAGATCGTGTAAAAGCTTTCCCACACTCTTTACACTCATGAGGCTTGGTTCCACTGTGGCTCAGCACATGCCTCTTCAGGGTACCTGACTGTGCAAATGCTCTACCACACTCAGCACACTCATAAGGCTTGGCTCCACTGTGGCTCCTCATGTGTCTCTGGAGGTCAGCTGATCTTGGGAATTCTTTCCCACATTCACCACACTCATAAGGCTTAAAGCCACTGTGACACTTAATGTGTGTTTGAAGACTGCCTAGTTCTACATATTCCTTCCCACACTCAGTACACTGATGAGGCTTGGCTCCACTGTGACATCTCATGTGTCTGGTGAGGGTAGCTGACTGTGCAAATGCTCTACCACACTCCATGCACTCATAAGACTTGGCTCCACTGTGGCTCCTCATGTGCATCTGCAGATGACCTGATTCTGTAAACGCTTTTCCGCACACAGTACATTCATAAGACTCAATGTCGCTGTGATACCTCATGTGTCTCTGAAGATCATTTGATCGTTTAAATCCTTTCCCACACTCACCACACTCAAAGGGCTTGATGCCACTGTGACACTTCATGTGTGAATGCAGACTACCTGATCTTGTGAAGTCTTTGCCACACACTGTACACTGATAGGGCTTGAGGCCACTGTGACTTCTCATGTGTGTCTTCAGATTACTTGATTGTGTGAATGCTTTCCCACACTCGGTACAGTGATAAGGTTTGGTTCCACTGTGACTTCTCAGGTGTGTCTGCAAGCCACCTGATTGGGTAAATGTTTTCCCACATTCAGTACAGTGATAAGGCTTAATTCCACTGTGACATCTCATGTGTGTCTTTAGGTCACTTGATTGGGCAAATGCTTTATCACACTCCCTACACTGATAAGGCTTGACTCCACTGTGAGTCATCATGTGTCTCTTCAGGTCACTTGATGTTGAATATGCTTTCCCACACTCTCTACACACATGAGACTTGACTCCACTGTGACTCCTGATGTGTTTCCGCAGGTTACTTGATGTTGTCAACTCTTTGCCACACTCTGGACACTTGAATACACGTGAACACGACTTGGGTTTCTTAACATCACTTGTTCCTATACTCTCCTTTTCACTTGCACTGTCTGATGTAGAGACGCAGCCATCATTCAGAATCTGGCCTTCTGTTTCCATAATGATGTCAAGTATCTAAAGTAAGCGGAACAGGTCAAAGAGCTGTCACCTTCCTTAGGCGTTACCATGGGAACAATGATGAATAGCCAAATCTGGTCTGTCACCTAGGAATATATCTGAAACAAGAGGCACAGCGATAAGGGTCTGTAGCTAACCTGAACTGTTTACACTAATTTTACATTATATTTGTTACCACTCTTGATGCTCAAATGTAAGACCTCCTCCGTGGTCTAGTGGTAGAGCGTCCGCCTGGAGTGCCGAAAGTCCGGGGTTCGATCCCCAACCGCGTCATACCAAAAGACGTTAAAAGATGGTACTTGTTGTTACCCTGTCTGGAGCTCGTCATTAAGAGGCTAAAACAAGGACTGGTCCGCTCGGAGTCAGTATACTGTGTCTGAGTGGGGTATTCATGTGAAACTGCGGCATGGTATCTCAGTGAGCTAGCACTATAAATCGGCATCAGTCTGGACTAGTAAAAGCAGCCACACACGCACAAACACACATGCATGCACTTTGCTATATAAGTGCAATAATCTTGGACGCGACGTTAAACCCTGTTTCACCTCACCCCAAATGTAAGAAGTGATGATCATAGGTATAATGCAAGTTATAAATGATCTCCAACATAGACAGTCACTGTACACACCGAATATTAAATTACAAAATACAGCCAGAAGGCTATGAAGCTCACCTGAATAATGAAGACATAATTTCATGACACTTCAGCTTGATATTGGTTACAAGCATCTTAAGTTAGTTAAACATGTTAAAGGAAAATCGATGCAATAGATTCTCAGAATAAGAAAAACCAAGCTTTTGCTCAGCTTTGATCTGCATGAACTTGTTTCACTTTTTTCGCTTGTATTGAAATTGAATATGCTTTCCCACACTCTCTACACTTGAGACTTGATTCCACTGTGACTCCTGATGTGTTTCCGCAGGTTACTTAATGTTGTCAACTCTTTGCCACACTCTGGACACTTGAATACACGTGAACACAACTTTGGTTTCTTAACATCACTTGTTCCTATACTCTATTTTCACTTGCACTGTCTGATGTAGAGACGCAGCCATCATTCAGAATCTGGCCTTCTGTTTCCATTTGGATGTCAAGTATCCAAAGCTACTGGAACAGGTCAAAGAGCTGTCACCTTCCTTAGGTGTTACCATGGGAACAATGATGGATACCCAAGTTCCATCTGTCTCAAGGGTACATATCTCAAAAGAAAGATCGAGCGATAAAGCTCTGTGGCTAACCTGAACTGTGAATTTTCACAATGTGGACTTATTTGTGATGCTCAAAACTGATAAATGATAATTAAATACATGATACTGGTAATTACAAGATCTACAAAATAGACAGTCACTGCACATAGTGAATAAAATATTATATGAAGACATGAGAAGAGGTTCAAATGCAATTACATCGCCAGGTACTACCCCTTTCATTTCACATTGCTCCAAACTCACTTATCATACTTATCCTTGAAACTATAATGAAGAAATGGAGCCACAAATCTCAGTCAAATCACCTGAATTATGAAAAACTAAATTATTATACGTTCTCATTGAAAATGTAAAATGCAAACAATGGACGGACAACTGGACAGACAACTGACAACAGACAATAAGCCTTCTTGACTTTCAGCCAGGTGAGCTATAAATCAGTCTCTTGTTGACTAAACGTTCATGTATTATCCTTTACATTGTGCAAATGAATCTTAGTAATCATTGGCTAGGTGAAAGCCTAAAAAGCCAAGTGTAAGTAGAAAAGCATTTGTAAGTCCATCCCCTTTTTCACAAGACCCTGTAAATCCCAACATACCACCAAGCATTTCATGTCTGATTCTATTGTATCAGCCTGGGGAATAACATGCCTACAACAACCTCAGACAACACTTCCATGCCTTGCCTCTGCGAACACATGACCTGACAACATCAAGTCCCATTCCTCCAGCTTCCTTCACAGGAAAGTTTGCATGCATGCATGTTTCAAGACATCACTTCCGGTTTGGCAAAGCACATGTCATGGCTTTATCATGTTAAAACACAAAATCGAATGCCTCTAGCTAATTCATAAGAGTGAGTGAGTGAGTAGGGTTTAACGCCACTTTTAACAGTATTCCAGTAATATCATGGCGTGTCAGCTTAATGTGGGAGGAAAGCCTGAAGTGATGCAGGTCTCAGACGTTTACCACTTCGGTGAAATCCACGAGCACGGATATGGTGCTGACAAACCTAGAATCATAATCGGGGCGAACCTGGTTTGGAACCCACAATCATAGGTTTCTGGGGTGCCAAAGGGACGCAACTCTGCACGCGGCGCCTTAGAAGACTGGGCCACCTGTGCCCCCTAATAATTCATAAGAAAGTCATCTGCACTTCCAGTATAATTTCATCACTTCCAATTTGGAATACAGTAAACCTTACAGATTACCATGCCTCTAGTATTACACACAGAACTTTTAATGACCTACAGTTTGTTTGTTTGTTTGTTTGTTTGTTAAATGCCGCAACTACAGAAAATGATTGATCTTGATTTATTTTAACTTTCTTTCAGCATATGACCATCAAATATCAACAATGACCACTTTTCCTGGTGTAAAATGCCTTGAATGGACTTTCTGATCCATGACTTGACTGTCTGGTGTGTTCAAAGGCTTCCGTGGCATGACAGAAGTACTGCTGCTAACCAATCACTTGAGAGTAAAACTAGATGGATGAGGTGAGGTGAGGTGAGGTGAGGTGAGGTGAGGTGAGGTGAAATTGGGTTGAACATCGCGTCCAAGATTATTGCACTTATATAGTGACGTGCATGCACGTGTATGTGTGTGGCTGCTGGTATTAGTCCGGACTGATGCCGATTTATAGTGCTAGCACACTGAGATACCATGCCGCAGTTTAACATGAATACCCCACTCAGACACAGTATACTGACTCCGAGCCGACCAGTCCTTGTTAAAGCCCTTTAATGTCGAGCGCCAGACAGGGTAACAACAAGTACCAAGTAACGTCTTTTGGAATGACGCGGCTGGGGATCGAACCCCGGACCTTCCGCTCTCCGGGCGGACGCTCTACCATTAAACCACGGAGGCGGTCTTCAAGATGGATGATAGCAGATGAGACAATAAGAATCATGAAATGACAACTTATATATCGTGAATCAAGTATCAAGATATGTATCCAATGATGAGGTAGGCATATCGTGACACCTCAAGAAGATTACCTGATTGTTTCAATGCCTTCCTTCTTTCACTTTACTAAGACTTGAGTCCACTGTGGCACTTCATATGATTGTTCAGGTGGCTTGAAGTTCTGAATGTCTTCCCACACTCTCTACACTCATAAGGCTTGGCTCCACTGTGACATCGCATGTGTATCTGCAGGTGACCTGATTCTGTAAACGCTTTTCCGCACTCACCACACTGGTAAGGCTTGATGCCGCTGTGATACCTCATGTGTCTCTGAAGATCATTTGATCGTGTGAATGCTTTCCCACACTCACCACACTCATAGGGCTTGATGCCACTGTGACACTTCATGTGTGAATGCAGACTACCTGATCTTGTGAAGTCTTTGCCACACACAGAACACTGATAGGGCTTGAGGCCACTGTGACTTCTCATATGTGTCTTCAGATTGCTTGATTGTGTAAATGCTTTCCCACACTCGGTACAGTGATAAGGTTTGGTTCCACTGTGACTTCTCAGGTGTGTCTGCAGGCCACCTGATTGGGTAAATGCTTTTCCACATTCAGTACAGTGATAAGGCTTGATTCCACTGTGACATCTCATGTGTGTCTGGAGAGTTCCTGAACGTGTAAATGCTTTCCCACACTCCGTGCACTCATAAGGCTTGACTCCACTGTGACTCCTCATGTGCGTCTGCAGATGTTCTGATCGCTTAAAAACTTTTCCACATTCAGTACACTCATACGGCTTGTCTCCAATGTGGCACCTCATGTGTGTCCGAAGGCTACTTGAGCTTGTAAATTCTTTACCACACTCTGCACACTGAACCAGCCTTGGACATGACATTGGTTTCTGACCAGCACTTGTTCCCATACTCACCCCTTGAGGGGTACTCTCTGATTTTGAGACACAGTCATCCTCAATCAGGCCTTCAGTTTTCATTATGAAGTCATGTATTTAATGGTAACTGTGTTGGTGAAATAGCTGTCATCTTCCGTCATGCACCTTCTTCAGCTAATACCAAAGATGAATACTGTCATATAGTAAATATCTGAAAGGAAAGATGGAGCAATGAGGCTCTGTGGCTAACTTTTACTGTTGAAGATTGTTGGATTTTCAACATTTGATTTACCGTATTTGACGTAATAAGCGCCCCGCTCTAATAAGCACCCACAGCGATATTTGCTAATATATTGGCTAGTGAACAATTCCAATTCCTTCCAATTGATCAATGTACACAAGACTTATTTATTTGTGTATAGTTCACACTCGTGTGTTATATGCACCCCTAATTATGGCCAATTAAATTCTTGAAAAATATATCTGTCGTGTATAATACACACTGACTTTTTTTTGTATCATTTCAGGCTGTCAGCATAAACCACGAAATTTACGATCTTTCCACTCTTTTGTTTTTCACCAAAATTTTATTCTAATAAGAGCCCCCTATTTCTAATTTTGTGAGCGCCCTGGGCGCTTATTATGTTGAATATGGTATGTTCAAATATGATAATCATACAGGTGATACAGGAGCTTCACCATGTACACAAAGTCATCGCACATTAAATAAGAGTATATTCAGCGTTACAAATTGGCACTAGTCCTGTAGTCCTTGCAAAACTGGACAATAGTTAGGGTATTATAAGGACGAGTAGAAATTTGCCCTTTTTAAGGGTTTTGCTATATGTTATCATCATAAGGACTAGTGGACTAAAACTGTTAGTTTCAACGTGGTCCAAACTTGATGGAATAAATAATTGTAGCTCACATTTTACTTCTCATCTATAACTTACTTTTCATTGTAACCTCAATATTCACGATAAGACTTCAGGGTGGTTCTAACACAGCTGTGGTATGTACTTCACACAGTTGTATTTACAAGAAGACATCTTGTCCACGTGATTTGGTGGACAAATAAAATGAATACACATTGTATGAATAGGCAGGCACTGAGGATGAATGAGACATGAGACAATATCACAATTGTAGCAAACATGGAATGCAATGGCAAGCACACCTGAGAATTGATGTGCAGAACTGTCAATGGACAAGAGATAAATATAAGTGACAAAACCCTTTCCACAGCCACAAGGAATCTCTGCTAAAAGCAGAGTCGACTGTACAATTCCGAATGTATCATGAGCATGTATTTATGAACCACTATCAAATAGTGTTGACACCAAGTGTTTTAAGAAACTGAGTGTTTTAACTTCTTGATAAATCCGGGGACACGGGTGGCCCAGTCATCTGAGGTGCCGTGATTCACTGTGCAGAGTTGTGTCCCTTGGGCATGCCAGAAACCTATGATTGTGAGTTCGAATCCCGGTTCACCCCGATTATGTTTCTAGGTTTTTCAGCAGCATACCCATGATCGTGGGTTTCACTGAAGTGGTAAACGTCTGAGACCTGCATCACTTGGGGTTTTCCTCCCACATTAAACTGACTCGCTGCGATATAACTGGAATACTGTAAAAAGCAGTGTTAAACCCAACTCACTCATGATAAATCCAGGTGAAGGATGTAGAGATAGTGATGACCAAATTAAGAATGACAGTACAATTGTTCAGATGGTCAGTAGATCCTGTAGGTCCTGAAGCAATGTTCTGTAAGGTGTTATGTGGTTTAACACTCAGAACACAAATGACACAAGTGAACTTCCACAAGGATTGATGAAAAGATCCCCACCATTAGAATTTATCTTATCCGGCGTCTGAATGGCAGATCTCACGGCAAGGATGAATTTATAAAAAAAAAAATACCCAGATATATTTGATGCTCAAGAGCATTTAGTTAGACAGACGGTAATTGCTTCTTCAAAATTGTCATTGTCCCGAGGTGATGGTCATCTGTTCTCAATATCTTGAATGGTCCATAACTGACCGGCATCGTCATCCGATGGAAGCAACCAGATCCCGAATTGTGGCCTGGGGAATGTTCACCCCCTCTGCCTCAATCTCTCGTCCCAACTGTCGGAGGTTTTGTGGTTGTTGCTGACATGCTGACAGTCGTTGATCCAGTGCACCGATAAATGTTTGATTGGGTTTAAATCTGGAGACCTGGAGGGCCATAGCAGGACCTGGATGTTGTGATTCCTGAAAAAGGCTGTTGTCGGTCTTGCCATCTGTGTGGAGGTTGTCTTGTTGGAAAATGATGTTTGCTTGTTGCTGAAGGCAACACCAATGATACAGCTGTGACGTTGGTTACATATCGGTCTCATGTTTTAGTAGTGTGCAGTTTTAAATATATTGTTCACACAGTTGTCTATTCCAAATATTTCTTTGTCCATTCATGTCATTTTTTACACTTTATGAGTCAACATGAATGTCCTCAGGGCAGGCAAGGGAATAGTAAAGTCGTATTTGAACATACATGTACAGATTTTTAGAGTTAAAAATGCTGGCACCCCTTTTCAAGAACAGTCAAACCAGTAATCAATTTTGTGAGCAACAAGCCAACAGGTACGATGACACACAATCCAACCAGGATTAAACGCACCCAATATGCACATTCTTTATCCACAGGTTGTTGTCTACTACGTACTGTCCAAGATCTCGTACAGAGATTATTAACTATTAAGCAGTTCACAATTTCTTTTGAAATACTCAATGAGCAGCACCTCATGATGTCAGGGTATGATGATGACATGCGATCAACTAAGTCACAGAGACTGATCACCCAGTCTATGAGTGGCCTCTTTCAACTATTCCTGGGAACCAATGTCTAGTGAGTGAGTGAGTGAGTGAGTTGGGTTTAATGCCGCTTTTAACAGTATTCCAGTTATATCATGGCGTGTCAGCTTAATGTGGGAGGAAAGCCGAAGTGGTGCAGGTCTAGGACGTTTACCATTTTGGTGAAACCACAAACACGGGTATGATGCTGACAAACCTAGAAACATAATGGGGGCGAATCAGGATTCGAACCCACAATCATAGGTTTCTGGCGTGCCCATGGGACACAACTCTGCACAGTGAATCACGGCGCCTTAGACAACTGGGCCACCCGTGCCCCAGAACCAATTCTAACCCGGAATACTCTTAGTAGTGATGCTGAGATATACCATCGGTGGGATCATCCATTCTGCACTTGCTTGTTTCAGACGAGATGGATAAAGGTTGTTGAGGACAGACAATAATGAAAACTGACATAATCACACAGAGTGTTGCACAAAGGCTTCAGATCAGTTCACTTTCTAGTTCACTGACTGAATGATATTCATAATGTCCTGCAGATTTATTTTTCAAACTTGGTGATGATACAGAAAGAAATTGAATCAAATGTTGGTGACATGTCATTTGTCTCTGGTTGGTTGGTTTGTTGTTTAACACCGCACTCAGCAATATTCCAGCTATATGAGGGCGGTCTGTAAAATAATCGAATGTAGACCAGACAATACAGTGATTGATATCATGAGCATGGATCCACGGAATTGGAATCGATACATGCATCTACCAAGTCAGCGAGCCTGACCACCCGATCCCATTAGTTGCCTCTTACGACAAGCATAGTCGCCTTTTACGGCAAGCATGGGTTGCCGAAGACCTATTCTACCCCGGATCTTCACGGGTTTGTCTCTGGTAATGTCACTGAAAGTCATGAATTGAAGAGTCATGGGGTCCCTTCCATTTAGGGTGACACCTCACAATGTTAGCGGAAATGGCTCTTCAAAACATTTTGAAGTCTTCTATAGACATTTAGTAAATACTGATACAAATGTTTGTGACATTATTTTTTTAATGACATTTAGTAAATACTGATACAAATGTTTGTGAGATTATTTTTTTTAATGACATGTCATGTTTGAAAAACATTAACAATATTGCAAGAAGATTTACAAACGTCAGATTATAATAATAAAACAGGACAGATATTTAATAAAATGAAACTTGCTTTACTGTTCTTCTTGAAAAGTACTTCATTTCGCCTTGAATGCATTGAAAATTAACTAAGATCTCACATAAATACTATGGCTAAAGAATAAAAAATTGTTTTTTCATCTTTAAACATGTTCTTTCTGACTGGTTAAGACTGAAATGATGCATGTGAAAGGAGAGAAAAAACAATCCATAGCTTCAGCCTATTATTACCAATACTTGGAAAGAAATAATCCACTCAGAATGCTTCCTTGATTTGATACATGACACAAACATTTTCTGTACATTTATTTTTCCTTCGTTTAGCATGTTTAGGGCCAAAGTCACAGATGCTCTGTGCACCTTTTCTCTAGAACCCATTCCTTAACTTAACCATCACATAATTATAGGATTATACAACAGCATACATAAACATACACAACAAATGATGTAAGGATGCTACTACACTTTCATGCCTCTCATGAAACCGTGTGGAAAGTTAAATGGAGATAACGCACTAGTCATACAAAGTGAAGACAACAATAAAATATTACTTGTACACTGAAACTGATGCTGACATCATGACATCTTGAAAATTTCAAGAATCGTAAGATTGATAAATAAAAGGGACAAAAAATATATCCATAATCATAAGAAATCTCGGTTCATAGCCGAGTCTGTAATATGATTTTTACTACACTGCAACCATGTGTTAATGAATCGGTCTGAAATCATCATGACACCATGTGTTCATCAAAAGGTGGCCGTATCCTGCCCAACTGGTGGCATGTCATCTACCAGAATGTGTGAGCCGACTTGGACTGAGGACCCTCCCTGTCCAGCCGACTATTCAAGTCCTGATGTGGGAAACTTATGATCCAGTAGCCTGCACATATCATCAAAGAGGAACTTATGCTTCAAGGTCACCAAAATACTAACTTATCTAAAACTGAAACATTAACTGTTTACGTATCTAAAACTGAAATAATTATTGAATTGGGGCAATTAAAAACTACAAGATTGATGAAGTTGATTACATGATAAAATTTTGTGTTAATAGACAAATCTGTGTTTGACTCATAGTGACCTTTGCCTTTGACCATGCAATGGTAGGTCAAATGGATACACGGAATTGGGCGGGGTTGGCAGATTTGCTCAGAACAAATGGCAGTGTTCCGATTGTTACTAAGTAGAGAACAGCAAGAGGTGGCAACTTCCAATAGCAACAATGTGTCATTGATCCAAAAAGATTAAGGAGTGCACTTTTAATTCAGCATTCCTTATTTTCCGTCAGTAAAAAAAACATGAGTGAGACACATGTTTCTGTGGATTACTTCATTGAGTAAAACTTTTCAGTGCTCACTTCTGTTTCCATTTTTGGACATACAAATGTATGGACACCAAATTTGTCTCCGAAGGTTTGTCTCTGTCTCAATGGCTTCCCTCTTTCACCATACTACTTGAGTCCTTTGTGACATTTCATGTGTCTCATCAGGATACTCGACTGTGTGAAAGCTTTCCCACACTCTTTACACTCATGGGGCTTGACTCCACTGTGACATCTCATGTGTCTCTGAAGATGACCTGATTCTGTAAATGCTTTCCCACACTCAGGACACTTGTAGGGTTTTACACCACTGTGGTACCTCATGTGTCTCTGTAGATGACCTGATTCTGTAAATGCTTTCCCACACTCAGTACACAGGTATGGCTTTACGCCAGTGTGATACCTCATGTGTCTCTGAAGGTCATTTGATTGTTTGAACGCTTTCCCACATTCACCACACTCATAAGGTTTGAAGCCACTGTGACACCTCATGTGCGTCTGCAGACTATCTGATCTTGTAAAATCCTTGCCACACTCACTGCACTGGTAAGGTTTGATGCCACTGTGACACCTCATGTGCGTCTGCAGACTACCTGATCTTGTAAAGTCTTTGCCACACTCACTGCACTGATAAGGTTTGATTCCACTGTGAATCCTCATGTGTGTCTGCAAATTACTTGATATTGTAAATGTTTTTCCACACTCAGTACACTGATAAGGTTTGACTCCACTGTGACTTCTCATATGTACCTGCAGGCCACCTGAATGTGCAAATGTTTTCCCACATTCAGTACAGTGATAAGGCTTGACTCCACTATGACACCTCATGTGTGTCTGGAGAGTTCCTGATCGTGAAAATGCTTTCCCACACTCCGTGCACTCATAAGGCTTGACTCCACTGTGACTCCTTATGTGCGTCTGCAGATGTTCTGATCGCTTAAACACTTTTCCACATTCAGTACACTCATACGGCTTGTCTCCAATGTGGCACCTCATGTGTGTCCGAAGGCTACTTGCTCTTGTCAATTCTTTGCCACACACAGTACATTGAAACCGACCTGGACATGACATAGGTTTCCTAAGATCGCTTGTTCCTGGTCCTACTGCTGCCGTTTTCCTTTCAGTGTTACCAGCTGTGTCTGTCTGAGAGACACATTCATTTTCCTGTATCTGGCCTTCAGTTTCCATTATGAAGTCATGTATGTTACGGTGTTAACTGTGGAGGTAAAGACCTGTCACCTTCTGGAAAGAAAGATGACTCAATGAGGTTCTGTAGCTAACTTGATTTGACAACAATTATTGAACATGTTGAATTTACAACATTTGACATTAGCCAAGTCAGTTGTGATAATTGTCAAGTAAATGAACTTAGTTAAACACATAAAATTAGATAACAAGGGAGGAACGATACACCAAAACTCCCAAACACCACGATATTAGTCCTTCAAAATGATGCACGATACATGCAGACTTAACTGTATAAAACATGCACCAGTCAGTTGTGATAATCGTCAAGTAGTAGGGTAGTGAATGAACTTACAAAAACCCCGATGGAACTTTACCAAGGCTAATTGGTCCTGATATGAGGCACTGAGTACTGACAACTTAAAACATGACATTTTCAAGAATATTCCAGATCAGTTGTTTTCGGACTTACTGAATGACATTGCTGACCGAACCATTCCTAAGTCCTCTGAAAAATCCCAATATTCGTAAACCATGGTTTACTAATGAATGCAAACTGGCTAAAAATGTTGGAAGAAAGCAGACAAAAAATTTCGCAGACATCCTACAGTCCATAATTTTGATAAGGTTAAAATTACAAATGCCAAGGCACGACATTATTTCAGACAAAATTAGCGACAACCTTGGAGGAACTATGTCTCCAAAATAAATTACCATACATCAATGTCCAAGGTGTGGAACATGGTTTAGAAATTAAAAGGCAAAGGTTCAAAATCTTAAGGACGGTGATCAGTTATTAACTAATAAAACTGAAATTGCAAATGAACTTGGAGAAACTCTAGCCAAACATTCTTCATCATCAAATTATGTCCCAAAGTTTAGACACATAAGATAAGATAAGATAACAAGGGAGAAACAATACACCAAAACTCTCAAACACCACAAGATTAAGCCATCGATATGATACACAATATATACAGTTATCATGTTATCAAGATACATGGCAATACAAAATACATAGTTTTTACTTACTTCATGAAAGAATAACGTTATCCAAATAGGAATAAATTTGAGTTTGAAAAGCTGTCTGCGTCCTGCAAATCAGCTGTTTGGGATCATTTTGGCTTCCCGGTTTCTTTTTGTGATGGACTCAAAACGGTTTAGGAAGAACAGTCTGTCACAATTGTCCCCTCATCTGAAATACACAAGTATTTCAGTTCATGGCCCTTGTTTTGTTATTTTGGCGTATTGAGATATGTAATGTGACCAGTGTATTGAGATATATGTAATGTGACCAGTGTATTGAGATATGTATCATATCATGGCCTTCTGTATCATTGCGCCCTGGACATATTGTGGTACAAATAGGCTGGAATAGATCATTGCAGATCACATTTCATTTTCATTTTAACCTCATTATGCAAGAGATGACTTCAGGATGGTTCACAACATATGACTGGAGTCACTACTAACACAGCTGAGGTATGCATGGAATGTACTACACACACAATTGTATTTTCAAGAAGACATGTTGTCGATATCACAAGAAGGTCAAACAAAATGAATACACATAAGGTAGTATGAACAAACAGGCATTGAGGATGAATGAGGATGAGGCATGAGACAATATCATAATTGCAGTAAACCTCTCTGGAGTGAGTGAGTGAGTTTGATTTTACGCCGACTTTAGCAATATTCGAGCAATATCATGTCAGGAGACACCAGATATGGGCTTCACACATTGTACCCATGTCGGGAATCAAACTTGGCTCTTCGGCGAGACGAGCGAACGCTTTAACCCTTGGGCTACCCGACCGCCCCAAACCTCTCTGGAATCAGCACACCTGGTGAACTGGTGTGCAGAACAGTCATCAGCCAAGAGACAAAAAGTAAAGCTTAGTGGAATCTTCTCAATAAATTCAGGTTCAGGATATAGATACTGATGTCACTTTGTCAGTACAATTGTTACAAATGCTCATTGATCCTTGCATGCTGATCCTGAAGTAATGTTTTGTACGGTGTTGTGAGGTATCGCTCAGAGCTCAAAATGTCATTCTGACTTCAAACATGTCAAATTAACACACTTCCATGAATACTGATGAATGAACTGTCAGGCTGGTCATCGTTATCTTTTCCAAAGTCTGAATGGCAGATCTCAGGGCAAGGATGAATGTATCATAAAAAAGCAGACAGACTTGCTTCTCAAAAGCACATAGTAACATGCACTTTCCCAGGGGATGATCTTGAGTGTTGATCACCAACTGTTGACATCTCCTCCCCTTGATTGGAAGATCATTCTGTGGACCATGTGGAACAGTGTCTGCTTTCTGTTGGTTTTAGCACTATGTTCCTGGCAGGTGGAACTTGGAACTGTACCTGGCTTGCAGATCACCGTGTGTTTTTAGGCTACCAAAGGGATATAAAGTTCTTGAAGGTATCTGGAGCTTGTAGACAAGCACCAAGCTTCACCTCCAACATCTTCCCGAGGCAACAGAGTTAACTGACCATAAAAGTCCAATGTCCACCCTTGCTGAACTAGGATGGTATTATGGAGTTACGTTTTGGCTGGATTAACAAGTCTATGCATAGTCCAATCAAAATCACACAACGAAATCGAAATCCGGTTCGTACACTGTCATGCAGATTTCAGTCGATTGCAGGATTTGCAAAGCATGTGCACCACCAACTCGTTGTCAACAGATATTTTCTAAATCTTTTCATGTTCATAATCAAGGTGCTCACATGATTTGATGCATTTCACGATGTAAGACACGTTTTATCACAATATAGATCTTGATTATCAATCAGATCGCCCTGACTGGGCGCCGCCATTTTGTTTGGAGCAAATGCAAGTGATATGAGAGGTGGAATCTGATTGGTCCACAGGAGAGGCTCAGAAGGGACATAACTCATGAAAGCCACTGGTGGCGCTACGATCGAGCCAAGGAATTCCAGCCTAATTCGGCAAGGGTGGAAACTGAACTTTTTTAGTCAGTTAATGCTCTTGCCTCGGGTATATGGACCTCCCATGGGTAATGTCCATGGCGTCATTGCTACAAATATTTATGTGTGGAATGTGCCAACTAGAATATCCTCCTGGATAACAAGTTATCCCTTCAAAGGGTCATACTCACTTGGATTTCATAATTTGTGTTGGAAAATGTACCATGACTATTCATGCTGTTATTTCTAAAAAAAACATTAATATACTGGTAGTCTCTTGATAATGTTTAGGTGTTTCACCTGTTTTAAGCACAAAATTAACATCTAATGTTGTTGATCCTAAACTTGATAAATGGATTCTGACGCACTCAATATAAAACACTTTATAAAAACACCTTCCCTCATTGTGACACATGTCAAAACAGAAAATTTGGAAAACAAGTGTCCTACTAATCCTTCTAAAGAGTCAGTGACAGAATCAAAGACTGATTAATATGCTGCTAGCTATCTGGTGCCTTTAGCCACCTCGGTAGAATGGTGTTACCATTGCATGCACAAGTGCAACCTATTATTGAAAAATGTAACCAAATATGTATCTTTACATGCACCAAGTGCACGTTAAACATTTTCAAATATGTGTCTAACTAACCCTTACTCTTGCACACAACAATGATCTCTGAACACACTCCGTACCTCTAAGCTTTATGTTTCATTCTACACCACTAATCACTGTATTCGTGTGTTTTATCATGCTTTCTTGGGCTTGACATCATCAAACTGTGGGTACTCAAATATTATGTGCACATGTTCCTTATACGTTTTACAGCAATATGTCATTAATTTATGTAAAATCATGATATAGTCATCTGAGAATTGGGTAAAATACTGCTATCAAGCACAAAACATAAAACAACAAACAAAATAAAATTCCAATGTACAGGCGGATGCAAGAGGGGTGTTCATGGACTCCTTCTTTGCAAACCAATCTGTGTCTGATCCCTTTGTGTGGACTGGTGAAAGAAAGTGCATCGCATACTAAGCTCAGACTGAGATTTGAGATTGCATCTGTAAATGAACCGAGAGTGAGTGATTGAGTAAGTATGCCGCTTTTAGCAATATTCCAGCAATATCATGGCGGTGGACACCAGAAATGGGGCTTCACCCATTGTACCCATGTTGGGAAACGAAGGAGAGAAGGGTAAAATGCAATGGTTGTGAATCCTGGGGGTAAACAGAAATGTGAAACAATATATCCTTATCTCTCAACATGTATGACCATGATGACATAATCATGTGACATTTTTTTTATATCTGGCATATGGTTTTGACCTGTCAGAGAAAAGAGGATGTTTAATTCGGGGAATATCTAGTCACGCTCCAATCAACAAGTCAATCATGTCTATTGATACTGAGAAACACTCCCAGCATGCAATTATCATTCCCCATTTATTTATGGACATTATCATGATTATTAAAAAAACTAAAAAGAAATAAGACATAGATTTTTTTATTTGCACTGAAATCTACAAAAATTAGAAAGATGTGCACACGCATTACTGTCTACCTGTACAGTGAGTGAGTGAGTGAGTATGGTTTTACGCCAATTTCAGCAATATTCCTGCAATATGACAGTGGGGCTTCACACATTGTACCCATGTTGGGAATCGAACCCGGGTCTTCGGCATGACGAGCGAACGCTTTAACCACTAGGCTACCCGACCGCCCCTCTACCTGTACAGTTAAAGAAGTGGAAGTGAAGAATGTCATGAATACCCATACCCAAAATCTGAACATAAAACCCATTTAAACGACCAGCAAGATAATCATAACTTTATCTTGGTACACAAGGTACATGTATATGACAATCACATAACAGTTTCAGTGCAAGCTTGGGAGATAACCTGAAGGCAAGAAGTGAACACACTTTGGCACCTGCCTCTGATGTTATTTTGTTAATTTAACTTGTTTAACAGTGTACACTATTAATAACCATATTCGACGCAATAAGTGCACAGGGCGCTTTTAAAATTAGAAATAAGGGGGTTCTTTTTAGAATATAGAGCTGAAAGATCGTAAATTTAGTGGTTTATGCTTACAGCCTGAAATGATACAAAAGAAAAGTCTGTGTGTATTATAAATAAGTCTTGTGTGCATTGATCAATCGGAAGGGGTGCCAATTGGGATTGTTCACCAGCCAATATATTATCAAATATCGCCGTGGGCGCTTATTACGTCAAATACGGTACTTCTGTCCATACCTCTCATCAATTACCGATTTTGTGTACTCATCTGTGTACATCTGGGCTTATTATGTGAAACATCAGGATGACTTGTCTTTATTTGATCAGAATATGCATCAAAGTACATTACAAACAAGAGATCTGCATTTCATTTTGTAAATGCTGCTGATCTGAACATAACAGGGGATTTGTATATCTAGACCTAACTACTTCAAATTTAACAGAAAATTGAAAATCGCTCTGCCATCATTGCAAACAGGAATGACAATTGCCGAGCACACAACTAACCCAAAGAATCCTAAAGGAGGTTCCGAAGGCAAAAGGTGAGTGATTATGGTTTATATTCCAATCAATATCATGGCAGGGGACACCAGAATGGGCTTCACACCTTGTATCATGTCTTGGCGTGACCAGCGAACGCTTTAACAAAAATGTTTAACCACGAGACTACCCCCAAAGGCAAAAGGGTGGACAAGATGAGAAATAAGTAAAATACACACAACCCCCTTCTTTTTTCAATTGGAAAATTTGATTAAATATTCTTAATCATGTTAATACAGATCACATGTATCAGGGGTTCTTATCAGGTCTCTGGTTGAGGCCTAACGGGCAGCAGATGACCTGTACCCGTAAAACTACAATCTTGTCTATCCTAGCACAACATGTTCATATTCCTGCCATGGCTAGGCCTATCTGCTAATACTTTCTGTAAATTAAATACCCTTATTGAAAAGCGGACTTACTATCGATTTCTGCCACAGGCTTCATTCTTCACAGAGATAAGACAGAAGGATGAGGCTTTTCGTGCGAATACCCAACGTAAACAACAAGTCACACTCATACTTACTTATCACTTGTAGTTGCTGCAGTCTGTAATATTGTGGTTCTGGTTAGCGCGCCTGGCACTGTCAGACATTGAATATTTCTCAAAGGGAGGTAACTCCATATACTACTGCCTCGATCGGTTTCAGTCAGTCTTTGCTGATATTACCTAAAGATAACATCTGGAGAGAAAATTACCCTAAAACAACAGATACGTTATGTGCCATATTTATACCTACAACTCCATAGTATGATGACAGCTTGTGTTATTTAATGTGTTATTTTGGTCAGTAAAAATGGTGCCGTTTTTTCCAGGTTAATGTTCCATTTTCGCTTGGTGCTGTTTTGATGTGGTGCTGGTCAGACCTACCACACTAAAACAATGGCTTTGTTCTCCAAAACACCATGACTGTGAGTCTCTATGCTTAGGCCACATTAAAAACAATTTCTCAGGACACTCTCTATATCTTCATGTCATTGTTTTCATGCAGTATAACTGTAAATGAACTAATGTTTGTGTGGTTTCAAAATCGAATGAAATATTTATCAAAAGTAATTTATTAAATTATGTTAGAGATAGAACTTAGTTCAAATATCAATAAACCTAACAAACTTGCAGTAATACGTTACAAGATGAGATGATTTACAATCTGAATATTATTTCCCATCACAGCAAACACTTTTTCAAAATCCCGTAACCATAATGTGTGCTATTGTCACGTACAACTCTGAAAGGGCAATCACATTGACATGTATGTTACCTTTTTTGAAGTGCACGACTAATGACTCAGTGAACAAATTGCCACATCATAACTTGAGCGACCGTTTTGTGCAAAGATTGAAATACATATTAATCTGCAGCCATAACTCTACAATGAAAAAAACTCTCCGACTTGTTATTCTCCTTGCTTTTTTGCAATATGTACAAAGAGAGAAATATATTCCTGGTTTGTAAATTTCAGACAAAAGTATTAAAACAAATTGAAAATTGATAGAAAACTATTGTTACATTTGATCTGATTTGTGCTCTGTCAAGTGCCTTTTTCATTGACTCGTAAACAAAGCGCAGCGTAGCAGGGTACAACAGATTTATTGTCCCGCCCAGAAATCCATGAGCAGACTTTTTTCCTTCGTGATGGGGTATAAGGAATTAAGTCTCTCGCTCAGAAATCTATTTCCCTCCCAGGTGAGAACCAATCAGATCTCAACATTCTGACATGGATGTAACATTTACACTGTGCAAAGAAAGTTGGGCAAATGAGAGACCAAATATATATACCAGTATATACCAGTATCAACCTGCGATGTTGTACTACAGGAAGGGGGGCGTGTGAACACGTTGCCGGGCGAAGGTTGTCCTAAGAGGCGGCTGATGGGATCGGGTGTTCAGGCTCGCTGACTTGGTTGATGCATGTCCTCGTATCTCAATTGCGTGGATCGATGCTCATGATGTCAATCACTGGATTTCTGGTCCACACTAGCTTATTTACAGACCGCCGTCATATAGATGGAATATTGCTGAGTGCGGCGTTAAACAACAAAGAAAGAAAGAAGAAAGTTACGGAGAGTGTGTTCGGTTGCGTTGGTTCCAGTCGATTGCTGCAAGTCTCAAGCCTCGTGATGACGTCACCGAATAACGATCTTCACATTGGGTTGTCACACGTGGCCAACGGCGAGTGAGTTGGGTTTAACGCCACTTTAAACATTATTCCAGTTATATCGAGGCGTGTCAGCTTAAAGTGGGAGGAAAGCCCGAAGTGATGCAGGTCTCAGACGCTTACGACTTCGGTGAAACCCACGAGCACGGGTATTGTGCTGACAAACCTAGAAACATAATCGGGGCGAATCGGGATTCCAACCCACAATCATAGGTTTCTGGCAAGCCCAAGGGACGCAACTCTGCAATGCGAATCGCGGCGCCTTAGACGACTGGGCCACCCGTGCCCCCTGGCCATCAGTGGTCGTACTGTGTGCTCTTCAGGATGGTTCACGCGCGATGTGGAGCTGTAATTCACATTAAGTGGCCAGCAATTTGACAGACACCTTGTCCAGTTTGCAACCTTCCCCTTGCCTCGTGATGTTGGTGTACAGGCATTCCACGTTGGTGCTCTTTCTGACTCTCGTTTACTTCTGGCGGTTGTGTCAATGTTTGAAGTTATTTCCATGTGCATTCGCACGAATTTATTCCGACACTCAAAATCATGAGTTGCACGTGAAACACTCGTTATCTTGAAAGAATGTCAGTGGCGTATCACGTCAAGACACACGAAGACAGAAAACCCTTGAAAAGAAGCTGACACTCTTTCCTATGAATATTATCAATATCAAGTGTGTGTCTAATTTTTTCGAGTTTTGCTAAACCCTTTATCGCATTTTTATTTTATATGTGATACATCTCGCTTATTGTTAGTTAGCCATGTATCGCTGCTGTGACCTATGGCATACATCCTTGGTGACACATGGTCATATGGTTAGAAGTCACCCGAAACAGCATTGTAAAAAGACATGTTTAAAAAAGGTGATCTAAAAATAAACAATAGACTGGACCCAACATCTTCCCGGGGCAAGTGAGTTAACTGAGTATAAAAGTCCAGTTTCCACCCTTGCCGAACTATAGGCTGGTATTGTGGAGTTACATTTTGGCTGGACTAACGTGTCTGTGCTTATAGTCCATGAGCCAGACCAGATATTGGTACCACATGGGGTGGCAAAATCTCAGTATGATTTTTTGAAAGTCATATATCCATAGATGAAAAAAATCTTTGAAAGCAATCCGGGACTTACAGCTTAGTGGTAGTAATCACCACATAAAGGGGGACCCCAGAGTCGAATCCACGGGACTAGATTTCAGGGTAGGGGAAACCAGAAAGTGGAATAACTTTACAAGCAATAGTCATATGGTGAAGTATGACCACTCAAAATGTTGGTAACCTGATGCTCTACATGTTGGTATGTAATATAGGACTAATACAGTACAAACGTAGGTCACCAGAGGTCAAAAGGTCACACTCACAACATTTGACCTCTGCTTAAAATATTACCACCTACCAGAAAATATATTGCAGATGCCACACCAGTGGGACTTTCTTAACCCAAATGGGCTATGATTGAAGCCAAACAGTACCTAAGTCTGTTTAAAGTCTGATAAAAGGAACTTTATCATCTTTTATGGTGTGGTACAGAACGATTTTTGGTACATCTTAAAACGAATGTCATCATGAGCTAAAAAGATGTAAAATTGTATGAGGTTGGGCTGCTTGAAATAAGTTCACATGAATTTATAACTCTCAACTCCAAATTATAAAGGCCATGTGCTAGATGTAGTCAGAAGTTGTTTTGAAGATACATTGTTCTGGGTTTTTTGGCTCACAAGATTAAACTGCAGGCCAAATAGGGGTCAAATTGGATATGCTAACCGCAATAACATAAAATGCAGTTGTTTCATCACATTAGTGTTAGAAACTTAAGTCTTGATTATTGTAGACTGAAACAAGGGTGGTCACATATGAGTCTTCATTGTACACTGTTGGTTACTCATCATCTGGACCATCATTAACATCACTTGCTTCAAATTCAACCTCGCCCTTAACTCTGTGATTGCTACATGTCTTTAATTTGCAAAGGTATGTTTATTTCATGTTATACTGAAGGCAGGTACAGCTCCCCTCTAGGCCCTTCTTTAAACAGTTACATGCAGCCAATTCCAACACTGTCGCAGGAGCAGGTGGTGCATCCACCCCCACCCCCCACCCCTAGTCAATAACCAAGGCCCCACCCTCCTCCTTCCAACCATGACCAACAGGAAAGCCTCCATGCTCTTTTTCCATATTTGATAATTGTCCCTCTTGTTCAAGATTAAGTATTTCAAAGCAAATTAAAGATACATATATCTAGATATTTACATATCTTTAAGTTGCTTAGAAATACTTAATCGTTACATGGAAACTGACATCTTGATGTATTATAATGTATTGTATATTGACAGCTTGTGATTAATTGTTACCAGATGGCTCCAGCTGGGGTAGCAGACGACACACTTTCCAACAATGGGGAACAGGGTAAAAATATGTGCAGGCTGGTTATCATCGAGCAGACGACTCACCAGTCTAAGGTGTATTGAAAAAACACACACTTTATTCTCAACCTTATCTAATGTTAATTCAACAATTTATCATATACTTAGCAGTGGAATATTCTGTTAATAATCTCTCATAATTCTATTAAATGGTTCTGTACATTCTATCAATGTTTATTTGTACAAAGCTGTTTTATGTATGTACAGAAGTGACACTTTGATAAATTATTGTCTGTCTGTCTACAATGTGTTATAGTGCAAACCATTTCAATACTTTTACTTAAATAGTGCAAACCATTTCAATACTTTTATTTAACATTTCATTTATCTAAATACCTAACTGGTTCAATATGTTTCCAAGTGCACCGAAATTCTATGCCCTTTGTCTGTTTAATATATTCAGCAAACATTCGGCGTTCCCCTCTTATCATAAGCCCCTCCGGGCAGGACCCTTAATCTCCAGCGCTATCTATAAATTTTAATTAACATCTCCTAACGTCGCCGGATCTCACGTATATACATACACTTGGGACAATGACCTTGCCACACGTTATGTAATACCTCGCTCTACAAAACCCGACTGACATGGTCAGTCAGAGAGAGACAGCCTGAGACAGCCTATAGAGAGACAGCCAGAAGGTAAGTGACAGAACGGTTCTCCCACCCGGGAACATTGGCCACTAGGTCCCGGTGTGCGTTCTGTCACGTTATTATCAACATGTACCTTTTCGACTCATTTCAACCATAAACAATAAATATGGCTGCTGTCGTCTAAACTTCACCCCTGAGTTTGGTCCTCCGTCATCACCCTGAGCTACCATCCGAGGGCCGAAATCTACGCCCTTGGACAAATGTATACCGTACAATTAAACCGATTACACACAGGAGCTTCACTTTGAGTTCATTGTTTTCTTTAAATACCGCGATCTTAGACACTATAAAGTGGTATTTAGGTAGACATAATACTTGTCTATAGATGTAAACACATTTGATGTTACATCTGTGATGTTTAAGTTGATTTTGACAGCCCGGGCCAAGTCGGACCCAACACAAGCCAAACACTTCTGATAGAGACTATGTTGAGAATGTAGAGGGGGAAAGGGCTTCACTTTGAGCACCTTGTTTTCTGTAAATATCTGAGACACTATGAAGTGGTATATAGTTAGATATAATACTAATCTATAGATCTGAATCCATGGCATAATACATATATTAGGTTTAAGTTGATTTTGACAGCCCGGGCCGAGTCGGGGCAAGCACATGCGACAGATTTTATTGAGTAAAAGTGCTTGACTTTAACGGGTCCGTTTTCTTTAAATGCGGTGTTTCGTGACATTATAAAGTGGTATATAGGTAGATATAATACTAGTCTATAGATGTAAACACATTTGATGATACATTTGTGTGTTTAAAGTTCATTTCGACAGCCCGGGCCAAGTCTGACCCAACACAAGCCAAACACATCTGATAGAGACTATGTTGAGAATGTAGAGGGAAAATATGAAGACCTTACAACAAATGAAAATGGTGGATACACACTTTTTACATAAATAAGAGTACGATAAGTTCATTCATGAATGCATGATCATTCAGTGTGAATATTCATCGAAAAATGATTACTTACTCAGTTTAACAATTCGTTTAAAGTGTTGAATTTCTTCCTTGTACTCGAATAAATCTGCTGATCCATTAAGGCCGAGTTCAGTTTTTGCTCAGCTTCCTTTTCATCATTTTGGTTCATAAACGTTGCTTTTTTTGGAAGCATTATAAACATGGCTGATGAACATAAACTGGTTAGACGGATCAAGCTAACCATGAACTGAAATATGTTGAACTGATAACACATTCAACAAAATAACTGTCGTACATTTCAATATTCGTCCAATACCTAGCTAAAGATGTTTTCACTGCTCTCCAAGTCGATACTATTTTAATTTGAGTTTATAAATTTGACACTTATGAGTAACTTTCTTATGAATGTACCCTACCCCCTCAAAAGATTCCAAACAGTCCTAAGCGTTCCAACATTGACTGAGTGAGTGAGTGAGTTTGGTTTAACGCCGCTTTTAACAGTGTTCCAGTTATATCACGGCGTGTCAGCTTAATGTGGGAGGAAAGTCCGAAGTGATGCAGGTCTCAGACGTTTACCACTTCTGTGAAACCCACGAGAAAGGGTATGGTGCTGACAAACCTAGAAACATAATCGGGGCGAATCAGGATTCGAACCAATCATAGGTTTCTGGCGTGCCCGTTTCAGTTTCGCCCAAATATCAATATCACAGTGAGTGAGTGAGTGAGTGAGTGAGTATGGTTTTACGCCGCTTTTAGCAATATTCCAGCAAAATCACCAGACATGGGCTTCACACATTGTACCCAAGTACGGAATTGAACCCGGGTTATCGGCGTGACGAGCGAACGCTTTAACCACTAGGCTACCCGACCGCCCCAAATATCGCAGTATAATATATACCAGCGAAAACAAGTATAGGTCTGAATGTTATGTTTTGGAAAATAACAGCATAATATGTGGTCATTCGTTTGATCAATGGTCTGATCAATGTTTGATCATAATAAATTCATTGCCAAAACGACCGCCTCATTGGTCAATTGGTAGAGCTTGCACCCGGTGAGACGTTAAAAATGGTACTTGCTGTTACCCTGTCCGGCGCTCGGCATTAAGGGGCTAAAACAACGAATGGTCGGCTCCGAGTCAGTATCCTGTGTCTGAGTAGGGGCAGTAAAGTACCTGGAAAGCTCTAAATGAGTGAGTGAGTTTGGTTTTACGCTGCTTTTAGCAATATTCCAGCAATATCACGGCGGGGACACCAGACATGGGCTTCACACATTGTACCCATGTCGGGAATCGAACCCGCATCTTCGGCGTGACGAGCGAACGCCTTCACCACTAGGCTACCCGACCGCCCCGGAAAGCTCTGATGGTCGTGCAAAGGTACACAGGTGTGTCTATATGTCCACCTCTGTATGTCTGATTGTAAGTATGTCTGTGTCTATATGTCCATCTCTGTATGTCTGAGTGTAAGTCTGTCTGTGTCTATATGTCCATCTCTGTATGCCTGAGTGTAAGTCTGTCTGTGTCTATATGTCCACCTCTGTATGTCTGAGTGTAAGTCTGTCTGTGTCTATATGTCCATCTCTGTATGTCTGATTGTAAGTATGTCTGTGTCTATATGTCCATCTCTGTATGTCTGAGTGTAAGTCTGTCTGTGTCTATATGTCCATCTCTGTATGTCTGAGTGTAAGTCTGTCTGTGTCTATATGTCCACCTCTGTATGTCTGAGTGTAAGTCTGTCTGTGTCTATATGTCCACCTCTGTATGTCTGAGTGTAAGTCTGTCTGTGTCTATATGTCCACCTCTGTATGTCTGATTGTAAGTCTGTCTGTGTCTATATGTCCATCTCTGTATGTCTGAGTGTAAGTCTGTGTCTATATGTCCATCTCTGTATGTCTGATTGTAAATTTGTGTCTATATGTCCATCTCTGTATGTCTGATTGTAATTCTGTGTCTATATGTCCATCTCTGTATGTCTGATTGTAAATTTGTGTCAGTGTGTGTGTGGATGCCTGTGTCTGTCTCCGTATGTCTTATTGTAAGTATGTGTATCTGTATATATCTCCATTTGTCTGATTATTAGTCTGTGTCTGTATGTATGTCTCCGTATGTCTTATTGTAAGTGTGTGTCTGTATCAGTATGTCTCTCCCTTTGTAGATTGTATGTATGTATGTCTGTACCATCGTGTCTGTCTTTGTATTTAAAACGAGTTCGACTTTATTCAGTTTTAGAAGTAAAGATACTGTCGATGACTAAAACGAAGAAAGACATGCAGGAAGACGGCATCCTACAGCAAAAGATAAACCGCACCCCAAACACGCTACTGTGTATTTAAAAGCCATCTATCTCAACGTCAATGCCATCCCGCCACGTGACGCCAGACCCCCAGCAAAGACTGAAATAGCTACCAAGCAACATCGATAGCTGTCAATATCACCGCAACACCTGGTCGCATTCGTGGATCGTGTCGCCATGAAGTTGATCGGCCATTGCGTAGGGCTACTTTTATTTGGAATAACATCGTGTCAAGTTTGGATCCCAAAACGTGAACTAGGGTTTGTATACAACAGAGGAAAGGCAGATGCCCCTGTTAGAGTCGACGCCTTCCTGGATCTCCTTTGTCCCGACAGTAAGCGAGCCTACGGAGTCATCCGACAAGTGGCTGAACACTATGGACCAGGTGTGCTCCAGTTGCGAGTTCACATGTTCCCCTTGCCGTATCATAAGAACGCATTTGATGCTGGAAAGGTAGGTATATGATAAAACGTCTTTCGCTATAACGAGGCAGAAAAATCGGTTAAAACGAGGCAGTTGTTACAAGAAATAATTACCTACGTTCAGTGAAAGTGTTTTTTTACATATAACGAATTGATTTTAAGTACACTTGTTTGCCCTTTCGTTGAAATTGACAAGAAAAGAGGTGTATGGCTTCTGTTTATGGTTTTTACTGAAGAAAGGTTTGCTGTCAAATAAACGTATACGATGAAAAATTGTTATCTGGACGCTCCGTAATCCAGACGGATGATGACTTTAGACCATCTGAACACATACAAAGAGAATGACTACGTATCAACTGTTTGTTGATCCTAAATATGTTAATCTGCTCTAAGTGCCGTCCGGATTCAATAAACAGTCGTCATGGGGCCGGAATATTGCGAGTGCGGCGTTAAACAACAAACGAACACCATTGTACATCACATATATTTAGAGACAATCAATATATTTGGATGTTGTTGTGAATGACAGTTCACCATGTTGTTACATGTTGTTTGCGATTCACCTCTGGAGGATCTATGCACGTGTGTCAATATATGGCTGCAACACCGCTGATGCCCTGTAACACTTAACGCCGTGTAACTAGTGCTCAGCATCACAAAATAAAAAAGGCATGAATGAGTGATTGAGTGTGGTTTTACGCCGCTTTTAGCAATATTCCAGCCATATCACGGCGGGGTACACCAGACATGGGCTTCACACATTGTACCCATGTCGGGAATCGAACGCGGGTCTTCGGCGTGACGAGCGAACGCTTTAACCACTAGGCTACCCGACCGCCCCACTCATGAATGAACAAAGTTCATACGGGCGTTTAAACGGGGAGAGGGAGGGGTTCGAATTATCACGGGAAAATTATTAAATAATTTATAAACCCAGCTCACAACCTCATATAACATACATTTGTATACCAACACCTACTCATTGTCTGCTAGCAGATTCTCACTGTGCTACGTGTGTGTTTGACGTTAACATAGACTCGGGTGAAAGTCGTCCCTTGATTAATGTTCCTGTGTTCGCACGTGGTATTCAGAAAATGTCAGCAAACTAACCCCATGAAGCCAGGAAATTTCGGTCGATGTTATTTAGTCAAGAATATCAAAACTTGTTTTTCTTGTTTGTTAGATTTCTAAACAGTTTGTTTGTATAAACGTCTTGCGTCGTGTACACTTGACGGTAACCCATAATTGTGTAAATTTGTAAAGTTGACAAACTGAGTTTGTAAAACTTGGTAATAAATTGAAATGAGTGCGTTTAACATCGGGCACATAGTTGGGTTACACACTGCAACATTTGGGTGAAACTCACCGACAGAGGCCAGGTCAAGTGAACACGTACGGTTTTAAGCTGCCTTTTGGCAATAATATATTCCAGCTATATATCGGCTGGGGACAATGGGCTTTTCTATGTGGAGGATCTTTGGCGTGACGAGCGAACGCTTTAACCACTACTCTAACCCACTGCCCGAAGAACACACACACACACACACACACACGCGCGCGCGCGCGCGCGCGCACGCACACACGCACGCACGCACACACGTGTGTTTGTGCTTGCTTAAAACCATACGTGTTCACTGGACCTGGCCTCTGTAACCCAACTATGTGCCCGATGTTAAACGCACTCATTTCAATTTATTACCAAATTTTACAAACTCAGTTTGTCATCTTTGCAAATTTACACAATTATGGGTTAACGCCGCTTTTAACAGTATTCCAGTTATATCGCGGCGTGTCAGCTTAATGTGGGAGGAAAGCCCGAAGTGATGCAGGTGTCAGACGTTTACCACTTCGGTGAAACCCACGGGCACGGGTATGGTGCTGACAAACCTAGAAACATAATCGGGGCGAACCGGGATTCGAACCAACACTCATAGGTATCTGGCATGCCAAAGGGACGCACAGCACATCGAATCGCGGCGCCTTAGACGACTGGGCCACCCGTGCCCCCAAATGTATTTGTGAAGGAGTTGAGATTCACAAGTCAACCTATAAGTTTCAAATGATGCGACAGGTTGTAAATGATAGTAACATGTATTTGAACATGTATTTCAGGGAGCGTTCGTCGTGGACAGGTTGACGGAGGGCAACAAGACGTACGAGTGGTTCAACAACGTCTTTGACCACATGGGTAGTTTCTCTAACAGCTTCACCCACGGGGAGACAGGGATGAAGGTGTTCAGGTGTGTTATGTTCATCAAGTGTTATGATATATGTTGGACCCGTGATGATCCGGGGTAGAATAGGTCTTCAGCAACCGCTGCTTGCTGTAAAAGGCGAGTATGCTTGTCGTAAGAAGCGAATCACGGGATCGGGTGGTAGTAGCTCGCTGACTTTGATGATGCATGTCATCGTATCCCAATTGCGTGGGTCGATGCTCATGATGTCAATCACTGGATTGTCTGGTCCAGACTCGATTATTATAGCTTGAATATTGCTGAGTGCGGTGTTAAACAAGAAACAAACACACAGTTGTTATTGTGCTCGTTATTGCTACACAGTTGCTATTGGTGCAGTTTTTCTGGCTTTTAAGTAAGAAAAATATATATTCTACCATTTATGTGGAAATAATTCGATCTGATTCGTCAGAGGTTTCAAATAACAATTACCACGGTGTTCGGTTCCTGATTCGATTTGGGTGCGCGCGTGTGTGTGGGTTGGGCGGCGGGAGGGGGAAGGGTGTCCCCCCAAAATATAGTTCATGAAAATTTTTGAGAATAAAGAAATTGCATGCCACGAAAATTTTATTGTTGCTAAGTGTTCATCTTTTTAGAAAATCCATGCTCATATGATTGTAATAAAAACAAATTTGGTTTTGTGGCTGTAGTTGTATAAAATCTGTAAGCAACACAAGAGTCCTATATTTAAGGAAATTTTAAATCGTGCTTTTGGTTTAGATTCAACAGTTACACTTTGAAAGACGCTGTTATGGATTGGCCTCAATATATAACGCGATCCCGTTTGGTTGATTTTGCAGTGAACGTTTTTTTATGCAAACAAATGATAATAGAGATTTTCAGAATTCATGGAATATCCTGGTTTTGATCATGTTTAACAGATGTGACCTCGAAAGATAGGCGGAAATCGATAAGACATCCTGTGTCGCATGATACCCTGCTGTTGCACCATGTCAGGCGGCTTAACGTGGTGAACCCGCTGGCTGAATATATACTGTGCTTATCATCACACCATATGTACAGTCTCAGGTGGTGCCTAATTTACTATATAATTCGGATTTATCATTTCAGAGAAAATAATATCCATATAATAATCATTATTCTTTTATCATTACTCCTGCTGCAGCCCACGCCGGGCATAAAAAGGAAGATTGTTTTCAATTTGGGGTTTGGGCACATGACCTAGACAGTTTTGGATGATATAATCATTTATGACTAGCGTATTCGACGTAATAAGCGCCCCGCTCTAATAAGCGCCCACGGCGATATTTGCTAATACATTGGCTAGTGAACAATCCCAATTAGCACCCCTTCCGACTGATCAATGTACACAGGACTTATTTAAATTAAATTCTGGAAAAATATATCTGTCGTATATAAACATTTCAAGCTGTCAGCATAAACCACGAAAATTACGATCTTTCAACTGTTGTTTTTCACCAAAATAATATTCTGATAAGAGCCCCCTATTTCCTGGCCTGGGCGCTTATTATGTAGAATACGGTAAATGGTCAAAAAGAGCCTAATTTTCCAACTGCAAGTGAAAATGACAGTACAAGTCACGAGATGATATTATGTACTCTTCAAAAAAAGAAACTCAAAGCCTGATTTGTGTGAGGTAGGAAATTTTATACGAGGAAACGTACATGTAATTGAGTCAAAATGTTGTGGAGAGAACACTTGGTGATTGTAGTCATATCAGTTATCGGTACATAGGAAATGTCCAAGGTGAAGGTCAACTCCCATCAATAACGCGTATGTCCCCCGTTGAAATCGATAGCGGCTTGACATGTCCTGCCCATGGAAGAGAAGAGTATACGAATCATATCCTGGGGAATGGTAGCCCACTCGGCCTGCAACGCACAAGCCAACTGCTGCAACGTCTTGGGTTGTAGTTGACGTCGGCGTAGCCGTCTATCCAATTCATCCCACGGGTGCTCTATCGGGTTCAAATCCGGGTAAAATGAGGACCAGTGGAGAACATCAACGTTGTTGTTGTGTAGACAGGCTCTTGTGATCCGTGCTTTATGCGGTCGAGCGTTGTCCTGCTGGAATACACCGTTGCCGTTGACTGCAGTTGGGAGGATGTGTGGAAGCAGAATTTCGTTGATGTATGGTTGAGCCGTAAGAATGCCCTGGATATGGACCAAACCTGTCCTGCCATGATGAGAGATAGCCGCCCACATTTTAACGCTACCCCAACCAAACCTGCCCACTTCCTGTACGCAGTTTCCGGCGTAACGTTCTCGTGCCCTTCCATCCCCTCGACAGAGAAGAAATCTTGATTTGTCGCTGAAAAGGACATCTCTCCATCGCAGCTGAGGACATAGGACCCTATGTTGACGACACCAATGCAGTTGTTGTTGACTTAATATGACGCGTCGAACAGGACGTCTTGCTCGTAAACCTCGTTTTGCTCTTTAACGGTTTCGTACGGTCTGGTCGGAGATTCTGCGCAGTCCGGGTATTTGGGACGCGGATGGGGTGGCTGTGGTCGTCCTTTCACATAGGTGGCGCAGTCGGATGTAGAGATCTTGGACGTGGATAGTTCCTCTTGGTCGTCCCGACCTTGGCCGATCACGTGTTGACCCATGCTGTTGAAACCGACCCCATAGCCTTGTGATGGTGCTGGGCGTTACATTGAAAACCATGGCTACAGCTGATCGGGATTCCCCTGCCTGCAAGCGGCCTATGACGTTGTTTCTTAGCACCTCTGTTAATATTGGCATGTTGTTGAACTGTCACTGTTCGATTGACGCAGCTGCCAGGCAATCAAAAACCCTGCACTATAAAACCGTTCATAGTGCTGCTGCACGTGCAGTACGTACAGCTCCACGGCCCTGCTGTTAATGCACTGGTGTTGTGATCATTTTGATCCGGGAAATTTGTCACTGACACTATAATACATTAAACCTCTACATTTTGCACCTCTTGGTCCGCTAATTTGGGCCACAAATATCCGTTTAGCGTTTCTTTTTTGGAAGAGTATATATGTGTACTGTTTTTATCGACTTCTCCAAAGAAAATCAGTTTGGTGCAAAGACTTGCTCATGGTCAAGTAATCGAAAAACGCTTCATGAAAAGCTATAGAAAAGAAAAGACAATGCGACAGAAAAGCTAATATAAATTAGCTTTTTCAACAAGTGTTACCTTGGTGTTGTTATAAGTCCACAACATTCAACTGTTGAAGTGAACAAAGTCTGGTTCTCTTTCATAGGAACGTGTGATAACTTCCGTATATTCTTCGGGTTCTGCTGATTTCTTTAAAAAAAACTTCAAATCTTGTCATTAGGTTGAACTGTATCAGCATGGTTGGATTCTGATGTGATTGTCGCACCAAGAATATCATGATGCACTTAGTAATACAGTAGACTTCGGTTATAACGAACTCGAGGTGACCACTCATTTTTGTTCGTAATAACCGTAGTTCGTTATAAGCATACATACAGCATATATACAATAAATGGTCGGGACTAAAAATAAGTTCGTTATATCCGTCAGTTCGTTGTAGGCGTGTTCGTTATAAACGTAGTTTACTGTAGTTGTTAATAATTGATTACATACGGTATTTATTAATAATTGTTTGCTGATGCCTTTCTGATATTTGATAATGTGAGGTGTTTTTAATAATTGATTAACTAAGGGTTTTTTCAACAATTGATTACACATGGTATTTATTAATAATTGTTTGCTCATGCCTTTCTGATATTTGACTATGTGAGTTGTTTTTAATAATTGATCACCTCAAAGTTTAATAATTGATTATTAGTATATGAGGTCTTTTTAAAATATTTGATTGCACAAGGCCATTTTTAATTATTGATTACATAAGTGTTTGCGGCAACATCAGGTATCAATTGTATTTGTTAGTGACCCATAAACAGATGCTTATGGTATAGTCTATGTTTGATTATGCGGGTTTTTCCATTTTATTTAATGAACACATGAACATTACTGTTTTTGTAACAAATAACTATGTCAACGATAAATATCTAAGAGGAACATTTTGTAATATTGAATACACTCACTGCATACAGAATTAAATGTTTATATGTTAAAACAAAGGGTCAAAAATGGACGCAAATAAAATGTCAATATAGTTGCCGTGGAGGGCAGTTTTTAATTCGGGTCGGAATTATGTGAACAGTCGGTAGAAACGTCATTGTCGGGATCGTCCATGGGACGTTTCAGCAAACAAGGTATTGCGATTCAATGTCGAAATTGTAAAGATGTGCGACAGACAGACGAACGATGGAATAGAGACCTTGATATAAATTTACTTCAGGTTACCAAAAATCGAATTGTCATTGATTCACCATAGATTATATGCATGCCCACTTCCAGAGAGTTTTTGTCAAGCGTTCAATGGACCTGAAAAAAACTGCATTGTCTATATCCTTACCACCCTTGCCCTCAACTAAATGGGTCGCCGAAAACCATGGATCGATTTCACACAAGGATACAATGTTCACTATTTCTTCAGCCATTCATGACTGGAATACTGCTATATACGGCATAAAGCCATGCTACTCTTCCTATGAAGAACAGACCCCCAGTACCACGTTTCTGGTAAGAGCCGACACAGAGGATCTGGGCCCACTTGCACAAAGCGATCTTAGCTATTGTAATCCCATGCTTAAGTAATGGAGTTACGATCATCTTACCGCTAAGATCGCTTTGTGCAAGTGGGCCCAGATGGTCAGACCCAGTGACTTGACAGTTTGGGTGTCGTCATGCCTCGCTCGACGTCGTGGGTCGTTGATCATGTTTCAGTCAATGGTTTCTCTGGTCCAGACTCGATTATTTACAGCCACCGGGATCTAATTGAACTATTGTTGACAACAAACAAATCTATATAGGAAAATTACGCGGCGTTAACAACAAACACATCAAATTAGGACAATGGCGTGGCGTTAAACAACAAACACATCAAATTAGGACAATGGCGTGGCGTTAAACAACAAACACATCAAATTAGGACAATGGCGTGGCGTTAAACAACAAACACATCAAATTAGGACAATGGCGTGGCGTTAAACAACAAACAATTCTAATTATGAAAACGACATTCTCTTGCAGTGACCTGAGCTCCTTGGCCCAAACACTCGGGATCAACAAGAACGACTTCAAGGAGCTCATGACAACGAATCCCGAATTAGAGCTCGAGGCGCGTCTAGCCTGGAAATATGGCTGCACACGTGAGTATGACGTCACAGTTATAACGCCATTTGCAATGAGTATGCATGGTAATAAGATGGTCGTGATCCGTTTGCACAAAGTGATCTTAGTCCTTAGACGCCTATAATTTAACAAGGACTTTGTGTAGCGCTAAGATCGCCAATGTCCTCAACGAAATAGCTTCCAAGGAACAAGAATTCCCTACTTTGACTTGTGATTTATAACGAACTCAAAGGGACCACTAATTTTAGTAATAATAACCGTAGTTCGTTATAAGCATATAAACAACATTATAAGCGTGTTCGTGATAACCGTAGTTTACATACAGTAAATACGATCCGTGAAGATCCGGGTTGTTGTACATTCATCATCTGGTTAGCTGAGACACAATTTGCCCTTACAGTGTAAATAAACTTCCCTTGTGACCTTACCACTGTGCAGTGCTTCCTTAACCACACGATGATTAAATGGTTCAATGCTGCATGAGCTATGGGGATCTTGGTTCCCTTCACATTTTTAAGCTGTTGTATGACACAGATTTTATATTTGCAGGCGCCATTCACTCCACTCCTATGGTGATGATCAACGATATTCTTGTTAACGCCAATCATCCAGAAAACCTATCATTTGATCAGTGGATAACGATCATTGACCCTTTGCTGAAGTAAGTAAATATCGTCTTATTCTAACATTCCGATATGATTGACAAGAGGATCTTACCTCGCGGCTATTTAGTTTCAAAAATTAAATTCCCAGTCTGCAAAATAAAAAACCTATAATAAAGACAAGCAATGCAGTACATAGGGCCTCTCTCCAACCCATATACCTACGATGAAACGTAATATAGCTAGATTTTTTAAAATAATTGAAAATGATGATTTTCTCAAAAAATATGTTCACTTCATGTCCTATAGTGAGTGAGTGAGTTTAACGCCGCTTTTAACAGTATTACAGTTATATCACGGCGTGTCAGCTTATTGTGGGAGGAAAGCCCGAAGTGATGCAGGTCTCAGACGTTTACCACTTCGGTGAAACCCACGAGCACGGGTATAGTGCTGACAAACCTAGAAACATAATCGGGGCGAATCGGGATTCGAACCCACAACCATAGGTCTCTGGCGTGCCCAAGGGACGCAACTCTGCACAGCGAATTGTGGCGCCTCAGACGACTGGGCCTCCCGCGCCCCTTCATGTCCTTTTAGAAAATTAGTTGTGACCCCCAAACACTGTTTGTCTTCTCCGTTCATGGATGTGGTTTCAACAATGTTATATTTCTTGGAAACGCATTGGTCAACAGGCGCGGTGCCTATGTGAAGACCTATCTGATACACAAATACTTAAATGATAAATCACAACACAGTGAATGATAAAAGGTTCAACATCAAATATATAAATATACCAAATATGTCTAATATACTTTTTAAAAATGCCTTCAAAGCGTTTTGTTAGGGGAACTATACATGAACAGATTCAATTATTCTAATATTTGCTTCAAATATCATGAGTTAAATTTCCAAACAACATAGTTTTAAGATCATAACGTTTTATATAAAAGAAACAATTTGATCTGATGTCCGTATATGTTTTACATTGAAATAGATAATGAATGTTATCTTCTTCATGATGACCACAACCACAATTGGAATCTTTAACAATGAAACGATCAAACGCATGTCCTACAATTGAATACCATCCCATAGTGCTAGATTTGGTCTGTTCTTGTACAGCGTTGAAATAATAGATGCTAATAATACTTTCGTAATTCTTTTCGAATTGTGTTAAAGATTCAGTACATCTTTACGAGTCATACTGCATATTCCATTCATGCACTAATGATGTCACCCGTGAAGATCCGGGGTAGAATAGGTCTTCAGCAACCCATGCTTGCCGTAAAAGGTGACTATGCTTGTCGTAAGAGGCGATTAACGGGATCGGGTGGTCAGGCTCGCTGACTTGGTTGATGTATGTCATCGGTCCCAATTGCGTTGATCGATGCTCATGATGTCAATCACTGGATTGTCTGGTCCAGACTCGATTATTTACAGACTGCCGCCATAGATGGAATATTGCTGAGTGCAGCGTTAAACACCAAACAAACAAACAAATTAACAAACTAATAATGTCAAAACTGATTTTCTGCCTGCTTCATGCATGTCCTGCCAGAACACACATTTACTCTTTGACTGCCATATCAAGACAGCTTCTTTCTTAACACTTAGGTCGACCTCATCTTATCTGAATCTGACTTAGATATTAACCTAGTTTTTTATATTCACGCAGACGAAGACCTAAGGCTGGAATAAAAATAATTAGACTTCATAAGGAGAATTAATTTATCTTGGTAAGTGTGAAGTAACCCTTTTTTTATCCCTTTCAAGGTGTTGGAATTCCGTAGCAGACACTTGTCTTTTACCCTGTATAATACTATAATAACTGCATATTTACTTTCTTTCCGTATAGCATTCTCATGGAAACATTCAACCAAATGTACATTCAAGCGCTGGACGATTTTTCATTGCAAAACCATCTCACTTAACTGGGCATCCATGCATTGGGTGAACAGAGGCTTATTTCACTTGTATTAGGTTACACCACATTACTAGTGATTCAGTGTAGGACAGGACCGAAGTCTGTTAACTCAAGAGTCAAACCTTCCCTGAGCGGTAACCCATCCACCTACTCTCCTCCGCCGGCTTTGCTTAACACCTGTGGCCTGTGCGCTATGCACATGACCAAGCGGAAGTCCCTCAGTTACGTCCCCACTTTCGGCCTTGAAACAGAGCCCTATCCCATCCGATTGAGAACATTGTGTCCTGTAGATGCGGAATGGTTTGTTTGTTTGTTGTTTAACGCCGCACTCGGCAGTATTCCAGCTATATCACTCACTCAACGGAAACTTCTAGGCGTCGACCAAGAGTGTGAAAAATCAGGTCAACACGATGTTCATATACATGATAATAATTTACATCAATAGAAGTACGACACCATTGGTTATCGTTAGAATGTGAAATGCTTCATTCTGATTGGACAAATTTTGTACTCAATATTATGCAATTTTTGTTTGAATGGACATGAATACATTGACTACCTCATTTACATTTATGCTTATCTATCTGTAATGAAGCGGAAACTTAACATGCATGACAGGCGACATGTCTCTTGGGGCGTCATCAGCTGCCCCTAATTACAATTATGGGTACATGGATTATGGGCAGGTCAAACTGTGACCCTTTCTATTATTGTCTATATTTATTTTTATTATAATTTTATTTATGTTGGCCCAGTCGTTTAAGGCGCCGGGATTTGCTGTGCAAAGTTGCGTCCCTTGGGCACGCCAGAAATCTATGATTGTGGGTTCGAATCCCGGTTCAACCCCGATTATGTTTCTAGGTTTGTCAGCACCATACCCGTGGGTTTCACCGAAGTGGTAAACGTCGGAGACCTGCATCACTTCGGGCTTTCCTCCCACATTAAGCTGACACACCGTGACATAACTGGAATATTGTTAAAAGCGGCGTTAAACCCAACTCACTCACTCACTCGAACACTGGTTTAAATATATATATTTAAACATTACGAAATGATTTGGATTTTCTGATATGTTGAATCGTGAAGTTACAGATCTCAGGCACAACCGTCGGCGAGTATTTCACTCAAAATGACTTCAGGTTTAACATGGCCATTGGCAACTAGTCTATTGTTTGGTAAACTATACATCACTGTAGTTCCTAACGTAACATGACATTGGTATGTTAAAGTGAATAAGAACCAATATAATTTGCCAAGCTCTTGTTGCTGAAATGTTATTTATTGTGCAGAGTTAGGTTCCATAATACGTCTGATCCTCTGTTCGTAGGTTCGAATCCCAGCGTTTTCTTCCATCAATATGCAAACATGCTGGTCACTCACTCACTCACTCACTCACTCACTCACTCACTCACTCACTCACTCACCGGTCCACCCACCAACCAACCCACTCACTCACTCACTCACTCACTCACCAACTCACTCACCCGTCCACCCCGCAACTCACTCACTCACTCACTCACTCACTCACCCGTCCACCCCGCAACTCACTCACTCACTCACTCACTCACTCACTCACTCTGTTATATGTTTCAGCTGACATCTCTTCACGTCTCAACACGGGTGGACCCACCAGCGCAGTATGGGGGACTCTCAACTTGCTCACATCTATGTCAGGAACTTCAGTCAGCGTCTTGATCCGGCAGTATTATATGAACATGCAGAGCATCATTTGAAATTCCACTGCAGGTGCTGCACGACCGCACTAATTGGTCAAATAATGTTGCTCGCTCGCACCAATTCTTCAAATATTACAGCACGCGGCACTGATTGGTCAAATAAAGCTGCTCGTCCGCACCCCTCCTTCAAATAATGCACCATGTCCGCACAAATTGCTCAAATAATGCATATCATCCGCACAAATTATACAAATAATCCAAAATGTCTGCACCAAATATTCAAATAAGCAATAACATATATGTTTTTGCTTTAGTTTAGATATGCCCATTCTACTTGTGGTACTGGTATATAGACAGCTGGTTTAAGCATTATTTCCATAAAACAGCCATAAATACCACAATCAAATACCACTGTACATCTTCTTTGAAAGTTAGCAATGTGTCCATTAAAACCATTTTACAAAACCCAAACCAAAGTGTTTGTTGTTTACTACAATGAATGTGAGTGAGTTTGGTTTAACGCCGCTTTTAGCAATATTCCAGCAATATCACGGCGGGGGAAACCAGAAATGGACTTCACACATTGTACCCAGGTCGGGAATCGAACCCGGGCCTTCAGCGTGACGAGCGAACGCTTTAACCACTAGGCTACCCGACCGCCCCCTTACTACAATGAACTCTATTCTTGAAGTATAAGGGATCAGACAGAAGCTGCCAGATATTCGATACAGAGAGAGTGACAAGCACAATGTACACAATGATTGTTTATATCCAAGACACATATCACATATCTAGCCCACTGAGATACCATGCCGCAGTTTAAAATGAATATCCCCACTCAGACACAGTATACAGACTCCGAGCTGACCAGTCCTAGTTTTAGCCCCTTAATGCCGAGCGCCAGACAGGGTAACAGTAAGTACCATAGTTTAACGTCTATTGGTATGAGGGGGCACGGGCGGCCCAGAGTTGCAGAGTTGCGTCCCTTGGGCATGCCAGAAACCTATGATTGTGGATTTGTGGGCCAGGCAAACAAGTGGTGGATATCATGAGCAACGTCCCACACCGTCGAAATCGATCATTTTATTTTCCAATACATAAAGGCCACAGGTCGCAGATTTTGACATTTTGTCCCGCTCAGAAAGTGATCATTTACCAGTTCGTTATAAGGGACATGCGTTCGAACCTGAGGATAGTCAAGTACGCTATAAGTACTCATTTACTGATAAACTTCGTGAGACATTCATGATGAATATATCATCACCATGTATCACTGGTATGCTAGAACGTGCAGCTTTATGTTCACTCTTTGATGCATCTACTGCAGTGACTTTACTGACAGATGCTATTCTGTCTTCCGTTGTGTGTTCAAAAAGGGAGAATTGACGTAAAAGGCATAGTGACTCCCCATGGTATGACAACAAATGTCTTACTAAAAAACACGAACGCTGTCATGCACTAAACACTTTTCGGGTTACTCAAAGCACTGAACACCTAGCCAAGTTCAACCAGGTACGCAATGAGTACAGGGCCTTATGTAGGACAAAGGGGGGGGGGGGGGGGGGGGGCAGTATCGACAGCGTAATAGAGTACAACTGATAAACTCAAATGGTGACTCCAAACGTTTTTTGGGACATTGTCAAACGTGTGTCCGAGCGTCAACATCATCACAATACTCCGCGGTGAGCGGGCTGAATATTTCTCAACATTATACACAAATGTTGATCCTCTGACAGTGACGATACGATGGAAGTCCGTACATATGTGAATCTCATGAATTGACAGCAGATATTCTTGACTGCCCTATAAAAAGATGAGATATCACAGCTGGTGTTGACCATATCATAAGCGAATACCTAAAACACTCATCGGATGTTATTTCTCCTTACTTGGAGTGAGTGAGTGAGTTTGATTTTACGCCGCTTTTAGCAATATTCCAGCAATATCACGGCGGGGGACACCAGAAATGGGCTTCACACATTGTACCCATGTCGGGAATCGAATCCGGGTCTTCGGCGTGACGAGCGAACGCTTTAACCACTAGGCTACCCGACCGCCCTCCTTACTTGGAGATTATATTCAATAGTATATATGAAAATGGTGTTTTTCCTGAAAATTGGTCATTAGGAATTATCATCCCAGTACATAAGAAAGATGACGCAACTCTTCGAGATAACTATCGAGCCATAAGCCTTCTGGGTGTCCTTAGCAAAGTATTTACTTCAATTCTATGCAAGAGATTAGTTTTCAGGGCAGACACACTTTGTGTTATTACTTAATGCCAGTCAGGCTTTCAGAAGGGGTATTCAACTGTAGATAACCGTTTTGTCCTTAATGCTCTTGTACAAAGATTCCTTTCACGTAAAGTGGTTAAGTTTTACGTCGCTTTTATTGACTTCTCAATGTGTCTGAATATTGCAAATCTAGTATAGACTGCAGGAAAACACTTTATCATGAATCTATGACTTTGATGTGAAAACGGACATCCAATTTATAAACAGTCACTTTGCCAAGCGTAAACATAATTGACAGGCCACCGTTACCTTAGAAATGTCAATCATATCAAATTAGTTATTTATTGCAATCAAGTGTAATTATCATTAATATCCAAAGTGAAACATTTTAGAGGAAGTAGGTTATCAGGAAAATCTTCAATAACCAGTGTATTAGGTCATTGTTTATCTAGATCAAATGCCAATTTACTGTCTAAAAATAATCACGATGCAAGAGTGTATACAAGAAATAGTCCCTGACAAACATCGTTCTTATCACTCAAAATATCTCATGAATTCAAACAGTGAACAAAATTATCACAAGGTAACAGGGAATGCATCAACCTGTACAGTAATAGTGCATGATGATAACAGTAGGGATATTATAAATGGATGCAAATAGCGTAGTGACACACAGTGGTAATCAGGTCATGCCTGACAAGTGCTGCTCGCGCGAACATGAGTGAGTGAGTGAGTGAGTTGGGTTTAACGCCGCTTTTAACTGTATTCCAGTTATATCGCGGCGTGTCAGCTTCATGTGGGAGGAAAGCCCGAAGTGATGCAGGTCTCAGACGTTTACCACTTCGTTGAAACCCACGAGCACGGGTATGGTGCTGACAAACCCCGAAACATAATTGGGGCGAACCGGGATTCGAACCCACAATCATAGGTTTCTGGCGTGCCCAAGGGACGCAACTCTGCACAGGCTCGCGCGAACGTTCAGTGATAGATAAACATAGCTATCAACAGTGAACATGACCCACAAAGTTGATTCAGATAGATGAAGTTCATTTCCAGGTAATTATCTATGATACCAGAATCATATTATTTGCTTTAATGGGAAAATCATGAAATGACATTTGCAGATAGATCGTGATATAACGAATATAGGTGATATCTATGATGGACAAGGTTTACTAAATATACTCTGATTACAATTACTGCTTATTTAGAGTGAGTGAGTTTGGTTTAACGCTGCTTTTAACAGTTTTCCAGTTATATCACGGCGTGTCAGCTTAATGTGGGAGGAAAGCCCAAAGTGATGCAGGTCTTAGACGTTTACCACTTCGGTGAAACCCACGAGCACGGGTATGGTGCTGACAAACCTAGAGACATAATCGCGGCGAACCGGGATTCGAACCCACAATCATAGGTTTCTGGCATGCCCAAGGGACGCAACTCTGCACAGCGAATTGTGGCGCCTTTGCCCCTTGACTGGGCCACCCGTGCCCCCCTGCTTATTTTGAACTTCTATAACAATATATATGTCACGTGTGTATTGAAATATATCTGGCCTAACTGATTATCCGTCTCAAACGTTCAATAGTATATTATAGATATATTTCAGATAAGAGCGAGTAAGCTGAATTTAAAGCCGTTTTGAACAGTATTTCACGGCTTTTCAATTCAATGCCAAAAGTGATGCAGGTCTCAGTCGTTTACCGCTAACGTAAATCCCATAACTACATGTATGGCGCTGACAAGCCAAGAGCCATTGAAGCATATCTTGGATTCAAACCCAGACGCTTAAAATTGTATTGAGTGTATTTTGCACCCACACATTTCTGACTGGTTGTTTATGTGTCATTGTTGGGGCAAAAGGCGACCCCTTAGAAAAGTCAGCTGATGAGCCCTGTAGGATTCAACCCAATTCTACATCTCTGACTGGCTACAAATCATAATAGACCCGTGAAGATCCGGGGTAGAATTTGTCCTAAGCAACCCATGCTTGATGTAAAAGGCGACTACGCTTGTCGTAAGAGGCGACAAACGGGATCGGGCGGTCAGGCTCGCTGTCTTGGCTGATGCATGTCCTCGATCCCATTTGAGTGGATCGATGCTCATGATGTCAATCACTGGATTGTCTGGTCCAGACTCGATTATTTACAGACCGCCGTAATATAGATGGAATATTGCTGAAAGCGGTGTTAAACAACAAACAAACACATCATAATATATAAATACGTAATATCTTTCTTAATCATTCACCTCTAAGTATGTGTACTTTTTGTCATCGAAGCTGAGCTTTGAATAAGGATTCAAGATCGAAATCATAAACCGGGATGGTTTCGTGCGGCCGCCATCATGTTTCCACATGCCGTTTTGTTCTGTTTTCGATCAGTGTTGAAAATTGATTTATGATGAATTTCTTTTATAGCTAAGTCAAAACGGCCTGTAAATAATCGATGTTTGGTCAGGCAAACCAGATGAGTGAGGATGTAATGACACCCAGATCCGCCAGCTCACAATATGTAACACATTCCACAGGGACCCAGATACTAAAAATAGTTCACCACACAAAAAAAGGCAGAAAGGGCCGTCAGAAAGGCCAAGCAAATTGCGACAAACAAATTATCAATTTGGTGATACATTATGGCATAACTCTTTAACATTCAATTATTCTCCAAACTCGCCATGAAGCCAAAATATATAGTAACGTCCAAGTGACGTTATAGGGAGAAATATATTTTTATATTCAGATTTACAAAACAGAAGTCAAGAGTCATTTTAGAACAAAAACGTGACACGTAAATACTTTTGACTGATTCCAGAACGAAAAGTATAACGAGCCCATTACTGGCCTCGCCATGAGGCCCGTACAGACATGCTACCGCGACGCCCCTCTCCATGTTGGTGGTCCAGGAGAGCTGTAACTATACAACTACAGTAAGTCAAGTCGACACAACGTTCAACCGATTAGTGACAAAACGTGAGAAGGCTTAAGGGAGTCGGTTTGTTTTACAAGCAAACTTTGTCACGTTAAACATTAAAGCCTTGGTCGAACGTGTCACCAAGAACGCTGTACGCACGTCGTGAACGTGTGTTTTATCATCAACTGTACCACGTTTGGTGTCGTAACATTTTATTTAAGCATTCACTGAAACACATTTGGTTTCAAAACATTCCGTTCTATCATCAACTGTACCACGTTTGGTGTCGTAACATTTTATTTTAGCATTCACTGAAATACATTTGGTTTCAAAACGTTCTGTTTTATCATAAACTGTAACAAATTTGGTGTTGTAACATCCTGTTTAATCATTCACTGTAACTCACTTGATGTCGTAACATGGTGTTTATCATCAACTGTAACATGCAATATGTTTGGTGTTGTAACATCCCGTGTTATCATCAACTGTAACAAATTTGGTGTTGTAACATCCTGTTTAATCATTCACTGTAACTCACTTGATGTCGTAACATGGTGTTTATCATCAACTGTAACATGCAATATGTTTGGTGTTGTAACATCCCGTGTTATCATCAACTGTAACAAATTTGGTGTTGTAACATCCTGTTTTATCATTCACTGTAACTCACTTATTTATTGGTAACATAGTGTTTATCATCAACTGTAACAAATTTGGTGTTGTAACATCCTGTTTTATCATCAACTGTAACAAATTTGGTGTTGTAACATCCTGTTTTATCATTCACTGTAACTCACTTGATGTCGTAACATGGTGTTTATCATCAACTGTAACACGTTTGGTGTCGTTACATTCTGTTTTATCATTCACTGTAACTCACTTATTTATTGGTAACATAGTGTTTATCATCAACTGTAACAAATTTGGTGTTGTAACATCCTGTTTTATCATCAACTGTAACAAATTTGGTGTTGTAACATCCTGTTTTATCATTCACTGTAACTCACTTATTTATTGGTAACATAGTGTTTATCATCAACTGTAACAAATTTGGTGTTGTAACATCCTGTTTTATCATCAACTGTAACAAATTTGGTGTTGTAACATCCTGTTTTATCATTCACTGTAACTCACTTGATGTCGTAACATTCTGTTTTGTCATCAACTGTAACACACTTGATGTCGTAACATGGTGTTTATCATCAACTGTAACACGTTTGGTGTCGTAACATTCTGTTTTATCATCAACTGTAACACACTTGATGTCGTAGCATTATGATTTATCATTCACTGTACCACATTTCTGAGTTGTTGGGTTTGTTTGCTGTTGAAAGTTGATGGCGGGCAAACCTTTTGCTGTTTTCCCGTTTACAAATACAACAGTGAGCTAATACATACTTTTTACCAAATTCGTGAAATATTCAGTTTAAATTTAAAGTTCATTCGCACAGACGAGCGAACGCATCAACCAACACAACACCCCTGCCCCTACTCACGTGTAGCCTAGATGGGAGTGTGTTTGCTCTTTATACACATGAAACAGGTTCGATCCCCACATAGGTTTGTTTGGTTGTTTGTTTGTTTATTTATTGGTTAGCGCCGAACAATATTTAATCCATTTGACGCGACCTTAGGGACATAATCGAGTCTGGACCAGACAATCCAATGATTGATATTATGAAAACGATTCACGACCCCGTGTAACGATGACACGCATTCAACCACGTCACCGATCCATTAAGACGCCGGCATTAGACTAATATGCATGTAAAGTCCCCGAAAAGAAATGTTAAATAAGATTGGGAACCCGCGAGGATTAAAGAAGATGAATATAGGCTACTAACTGGAGCTGAGAAGGAGGTAAGAACCGAACGGGGTGACTGTTTTATAAAATATGTATGTATAAAATATGTACATAGTCTTACACTAGTTTTCGGGGGCGGTGGGGTAGCGTAGTGGTTAACGCGTTCGCTCGTTACGCCGAAGACCAGGGTTCGATACCCCACATGGGTACAATGTGTGAAGCCCATTTCTGGCATCCCCGGCCGTTATTGCTGGAATATTGCTAAAAGCGGCGTAAAACCATACTCACTCATACAAGTTCACGACATGTCGTAGAATACCCTTAAAGACAGTAGCAGTTCCACAATTAGTTCATGGTTCATAAGAAAACGATTTCAGGAGACACAAGTTTTACACAGCATTTTCGAGACAATACGGTAAGTCGCAAAAGGCTTCGTGTATATATAAGCTTAAGACCGTGTCTGCTTCACAAAATACATCCGCACTCGACAACAATGGACGCTGTAAAGAGCTGTCTGTTTCTTTCGCTGTTGGTGACAGCTGCCGCACAACTATGGATACCTAAGGACGAACCAGGATTTGTTTACAAGGGAAGCAATGCAGACGCCCCGGTAAAGATGGACGTGTTCCTGAATCTGCTGTGTTCAGACAGCAGAATTATTTACGAACCCTTGCTTCAGCTCGCCGACCATTACGGCCAGAACTCCGTGCAGCTCCGCGTGCACATGTTCCCACTACCATATTTCACCTACTCGTTTTATGCTGGAAAGGTAAGCTTTGTATAATTACAAAATGTTGTTTTCTGTGTGTATTTGAAAGGTCGAGATATGTAGAGGTATTTTGTTCCATTCGGACTGGCAATGTTATAAGTTATGGAAAAAATTGATTTTGTTTAATGAAAGCAGAGACCATAAAACAGAAATCTATTGTATGGTCCCTGATGAAAGTTCTTGGACATATTGATCCGACAACTGTCCTTTCTTTATTTCCATAATAATGATTTATTTTCCACCAATTGCAGGTGTTAAACCTTTGACACGATACATACAGTACAGAAGTTTGGCTAAAAAGTGCAAAAAGAACGATTTTCGAACCTCAAGAGAGAACTTAACAACATGCAAGTAGGCGACCCCAGATAATTCTTTCACAATATATGTGTATTTACCTACATCTAAGAAATCAGCTTCGGTTAAATATTACAAAATGTTTCCCGAAATTTCCAAAATCAGCCTGTTTGATACGTAACATAAACGATAAAAAAAAGTATTCAAGGGTATTTACCAATCCTGATAATAGCGAGCACATGGTCAATGGGTTTTGGGGCGCCTCCGCAGAAAGAAAAAGGGTTTTGTTTGTACAACGATTTAACAACAACAGTCCATTCATAGTGACACTACCACCAAGCTGCTTAGCTGTAAGGAAATCTCGAAAAGAGGCTATATTACTCTTGATCCAGCTTCCGTACGACCTTATTCGGGACTGCCTCCCCTAAACAAAAATAAACCAAAATAGTAAAACTGGGGAAGTTCAAAGATCGTTTACTAACTGTAATAATTCACACTACACAATAAGGCCTTGAATATGTCGCTTTGAGTCTTTCGCCTATTCGAGACAAGCATTGTATTCCAGTATTTAGGGTGACACACCTCGAGCACTCGCAACTGTAGATGTCGAATGTTCATCTCCAGTGAGTGAGTGAGTATGGTTTTACGCCGCTTTTAGCAATATTCAAGCAATATTCCAGCAATATCACGGCGGGGGACACCAGAAATAGGCTTCACACATTGTACCCATGTCGGGAATCGAACCCGGGTCTTCGGCGTGACGAGCGAACGCTTTAACCACTAGGCTACCCGACCGCCCCTTCATCTCTAGATTTGCACAGATTTGATACTTGTTCCGCCACAAAATTGCATGAATAATGTTATTGTTGCGAATATTTTAGCCCTTTCAAAACCATCAAATGATCACCATTAACTCAGCTTACGTTCATAGAGACTGGGGGCGGTCGGGTAGCCTAGTGGTTAAAGCGTTCGCTCGTCACGCCGAAGACCCGGGTTCGATTCCTGACATGGGTTCAATGTGTAAAGCCCATTTCTGGTGTCCTCCGTCGTGATATTGCTGGAATATTGCTAAAAGCGGCGGAAACCATACTCACTCACTCACTCATAGAGACTGTTCCAAACCCATACAAACGCTTGCTGCAAGGTAGGGCGGTTTCTCTTGCAACGTTCATGTACGTTTATAGTAGGGCAGACACATTTACTTGTTTGACGCATTTCCAATAAGCCAAGAAGTATAAGATTCAAACATTTTTATTATACTTTGGATTGTGGTATCGATGCGATAAACAAATCCGATATACTTGGTGAGTGAGTGGGTGAGTGCGTGAGTTGGGTTTAATGCCGCTTTTAAGATTATTCTAGTTATATCACGGCGTGTCAGCGTAATGTGGGAGGAAAGCCCGAAGTGATGCAGGTCTCAGACGTTTACCACTTCGGTGAAACCCACGAGCACGGGTATGGTGCTGACAAACCTAGAAACACAATCGGGGCGAACCGGGATTCGAACCCACAATCATAGGTTTCTGGCGAGCCCAAGGGACGCAACTCTGCACAGTGAATGATATACTTTGTATTGCGATGTGATAAATATGCAAATGAGGTCACTTTGCATGAAATACTTTTAGTATGATCTGTGCATCATGTGGTGTTTACTTGCTCAAAAACTATTTAATAAAGTTCCCCAAATTGTTCAACAGAGGTTTCCTGTTGAGTGAGTGCTCATGTACACAACATGGCTGCAAAATCATTTAGCACTCAATATAAACGGGGCGGTGTAGTCATGCTTTGTGTCTCTAGTGGTTTCTAAGGTTTCCGGTTAACTTAAACTTCGATTATGTTAAGAATGACATCATATGATAAAGAGATTATTATCTCGTCTGTTTCTGTATCAGAAATATCATACCACTTCGGCGAAACCCACGAGCACGGGTATGGTGCTGACAAACCTAGAAACATAATCGGGGCGAACCGGGATTCGAACCAACAATCATAGGTTTCTGGCGAGCCCAAGGGACGCAACTCTGCATAGCGAATCGCGGCGCTTTGGACGACTGGGCCTACCGTGCCCCCACTTAAACATAGGCTTACGATAGTCTTAGCATTAAGATCCCTTTGGGCAAGTGCGACCTGAGAACCATTCTCGAGTAGCTGACGAAACAGATTCCATTGGATGTAAAAGGCAATATAGTGGTGAAGGAAGTGACATGGCTTGTATTATTGAAAATATATGAAAAATAATATATGCGTTAATGCTCATGATATTAATCACTTGATTGTCTGGTCCAGACTCGATTATTTACAGACCGCCGTCATATAGCTGGAATATTGCTGAGTGCGGCGCAAAACAACAAACCAAACCAAACCAAAACTAATATATGCGTTAATATTTTATATCCTTAACTAATATATAAAGAGTTGACCTGAATATCAAGCAGACTGTATGTTGTGTACACTACATAGAACAACAAACTGCGTTCTAATTGAATATTACGTCATGATAAGAGACATTTAATAGAAGAAGTATTACTGATGCACGTAGGAGGTTTTGTATGACGTAATGACGCATGCTGGTGATAACTGTCAGTTATATACCATCACCCTTAGGCGGTGTACAATTGAAAACACGTCCTTGATAATGTCATACAGATGTTCCCATGTTCCCATGTGCGCATGCGTCAGTAGAACAATGCAAGTATGGTTGAAATCCAACTGCCACGTTCCCTTTAATCAGGTAGCTTCTGTCTCCTATTGATGCCCGATACTGTGAGATTAATATTGAACATCTGGTCTAATTATGGAATTTGGAGAAGCTTATATTTTCGCCACGCAGCGTCACGCCACATCACCCCCAACGCACACCCCACTTCACCCCCACCGCACACCCCAAGCTCGCACGTACTCGCGCGCACACACACGTACACGCACACATACACACTCGCACACACGAACTCATACAGACACACATTCATTTTCGGTCTCCCAGAGAAGTAAAACGTGACAACGGAAGTGAGAGTGTAGATTTGTATATGGGGTAGCTTTGTTCTTGAAGTATTCGATTGTTACGCCAAAGATCCGAGTTCGACTCCCAACACTTGTATGCGAGGAGTTAAGCCTATTCTTGGTGTCCTCCGCTGTGGCTGATTTTTTTTCTAAAAGTGGCATTAACCCTCACTCACTCACTCACTCACTCACTCACTCACCCATTATCACTCGCTTGAGGAATAAGTCTCAGGTTTGGTAGACGTCAAAACCTCATTTACTCACTACATTGACGTCAGCGTAATTTAATCTTCTCCCTGTTTCCTCAAAATGGCGGGCGTGACGCTAACCAAGGCGGAAGTGGGCAATATCTTGACTTTTTTTTCTCAGTGTAAATACATACATACTGTATTAAAACATACACGGGGTATTAAAAACAGATTTGAGCCTAGCATACTCAGAATTGAAATATTATGGTGACTTTTAAAAATGATTGAACATAATTCCCTTGTGCGTCAGTTCAACTATTCAATCCCATGCTACAGCCATTGTGACACTAGCGACATGATGAACGAAAACACCACGTTGAATTTTGCCGTGACGCATCTCTTTCATATATATTTTAAATACGTTTTTAAATACTTTTAAATATTTTAAATACGTTTTGCAATATAATCAACATTCATAGTCCCCTGTAGTTGATTTGTTGTTAAACGCCGCATTCACCAATGCTCAAGTTATATGACGGCGGTCTGTAAATAATCGAGTCTGGACCAGATAATCCAGTGATTTACATCATGAGCCTCCATCAACGCAATTGGGATCGATAACATGCATCAACCAAGTCAGCGAGCCTGACCACCCTATCCCGTTAGTCGCCTCTTGCGACAAGCATAGTCGCCTTTCACGGCAAGCATGGGTTGCTGAAGACCTATTCTACCCCGGATCTTCACGGCAAGCATGGGTTGCTGAAGACATATTCTACCCCGGATCTTCACGGGCCTGCGGCATGGTACAGGCATGTTAATGGAGTTGAGTGCCATCTTAATCTCCCATTACAAGCGACCCTCCCAACAATGTTAGCACATCGACATAGTCGCCTTTTGCGTAAAACAACAAACCAGTCAAACAAATCAAAAACACTCACCCCCTCACTTTGGACTTATGATAAAATATTTCACTATGCGTGTTCACTTGGTAGGATGAACAAAGACAGAACATGTTTGTCTCAACATCATAATGTAACAGCTAAAATTTGATTATGGTGGGGAAATTTTAAAAAAAGGAGAGAAAATATACTTTAATCGTGGCAAAAGTTACAGCAGCATCTTACACGACACAGAGAGCTGATGTTTATTTATGCAACTGAATTCAGATTTAATCATGATATTTGAACGGTATCTTACATCTCAGAATCAAGTTTATCCTATTGTGTTAAAGCACTTGCACAATAAATTCGTGAGAATGCGTCATTGTACAAATACGAATCAGGGGTGAATATGGTTTAACGATTCTTTTAGCAATATCCCAGCAATATCACGACGGATCAGGATTCCAAGCGGGTCACTACATCATTTAGGCAACCAATTATATAATCAAGTGTGCAGCAGTCGATGAGAAACAGTTCTATGGTATACTGTGGTATTACAAAAGCGTTTGATGAAGTATGGCATATAGTAGGTTTCTGCATGAAATGAAAGGTTGTGGTATAAACGATGAAAATGTGG